AAATTGGCCTTTATCAATCTGCGTACTACACATTTCTCACATATTTTACTGTTTAAATAACTCTCACATATTTCTTCGCCCAACTCGTATTTTTTAGCGATGGCCAGACACTCCTCCTCACTATATTCACCATTGCCATATATTGCTTCATGTTCGGCGTCAAATACTAACGCCGAAAACTTTTGCTTAAGGCGTTCTACCGCTGTTACAAAATCTATCGCCTTGATCCACGATTGCTCCGCATACGCTAGCCATGCCATGATTATTTGATCTACACGACGAGTGGGCTATATAATTACTGCGCCCCACTATGCGCAATTAGCGGAGATCAAAACCATTAAGCTAAAGGGTTTAAGAACAGACAACGAGGTCAATAACCTTTTATCAAAAGGTCAGTGCCTTTAAGGTGAACGACCTTTAAATAGAAAAGGTCATTCTCACGGACAATTTAAACTACAATAAAGGTCAATGCCATATTGAGGTTAATACACTTTAAGCAGCACGAGTTTAAACGACACGACACGAAGGTTAATACACTTTAAGCACAAGTTTACCGACCCGAAACGAAGGCAATGCCCTTTTAGTAATCTCAAGGTCATATTTAGAAACGGCTATAACATACACTGAGACATTTATTCGGGCACCGTCCAAAATTAGATAGTACGTCACTTGTGTAATAGTCCAGTCAAAATAGGAAAATCAGAGGAACTAAAAATACTAGTTCCAATTTTTTCAGAAATGTGTAGGGAGAGGTTCCCTGAACAAGAAAAAATAAAGTCCCTCCAAATTCCGGTGCCGCTAGGGGTAGGAGGGGGCTTTAAACGACCCATTTTTCAGTTTTTCGCTTTTAACTCGAAAATGGTGCGTTACAGTGAAAAAGTTCTTCAGTACAAAATGAAAGCTTATTAAAATTGCTACAAGTTTGGTTATATACATCTTTACGAAAAACTGAACCGTTTTCGTGCTACCGGCTCCGGAAAGGTGGTAATTTCTAAACAAAATTGTTTTTCACTCACGTTTTTCGTATATTTTTGGCTTCTAAATCCTCCCCCGGTCATTTTAGGGGAAAATCGTCACAATAAAACCTGTACAGCATTAACATCCCTATAGTCCGAACCTGTTGAAGTACGAGTTATCTCCATACCCCATGACTCTATTCCACGAAGGATGCTTCAGGAAAACGAAGAAATCTGTTCTCTATGAGGCTTTCCCTGTGTGCATGGATGCAGTGCACCTCAAAACGATTTACACTGTAGTTCTCCTTCACAGAGTCAAGTGGAATGTTGGGACCACTTTCTCTTTTATCTGTGAGCAGTATGCTTCATATATAATAAATCACTATTCTTCCAATTGTGCAGTTGTATTCGATGGGTACGAGGACATTAATACCATAAAACGGTTCAGTTTTCGAAAAAATGTATATAACCAAACTTGTAGCAAATTTAATAAGCTTTCATTTTGTACTGAAGAACTTTTTCACTGTAACGCACCATTTTCGAGTTAAAAGCGAAAAACTGAAAAATGGGTCGTTTAAAGCCCCCTCCTTCCCCCAGCGGCACCGGAATTTGAAGGGACTTTATCTGAGTTCTGGGAGTCTTTCGGTTACTCACTTTGAAGCTTGAAGCTTCTAGGCGAACGAGGCGCAATAATCCTTATACTACGCTTTTTAAGGGACCGCCAAGAAATCCAAATTCCAACTTTTTAGAGACCACTTGTTCAAATCTTTTGAATTTTTGTTTCCAATTTTTATCGCCAAATTATCCAAATCCAAATAAAGCGACAAAATATCCAGCCAATTTGGATACTACAATATCTATCGGTGATGGCGCGACAAGATATAAAATAGTTGTCAATAAATGCCCACAATTTCTCGTTCACAAAATACGGTTCAGAACTGACACTCAGAAAGGACTTACTTATTACAATCCCTAAGCATAATCTTCAATTATATAAAAGGTCCTTCTCTTATTTAATAGCTTTTTATCTAAACAAACAACAACAAAATTAACTTTTCATCCCTATGTCGCTAGCACAGTTCAAAACATTAAATAAAATAAGCTTTATTCTGGTAAAGTATACCTAAAATTAATGTACATTTGTACCATCTTACTCAATTGGAATCATTGACTGATAACTTTCTTTCCTTTTCACAATAATAATAATAATAATAATAAACGTATATTTGTTTTAAGGCAATGCCTCATACAAAGAAATAGAGAGAGATTAATTAAGCTTGAACATACTGAAAAGATACATATGATAGATAACTTAAACAAATTATAAATTTCTAAATAATTATGACAAAAAAGAAACCATTGTCCTATAAAAATAAGTAAATCAACTAATATCATTCATTTAAACAAAATGATCTTATTATGCATTAAGTATATAATTATAAACACAGTTTAGAATGCGCGTCCCATTTTTGTAAGCCAGTCTGAGTTGTGCTACTGTTCTGATCTTTATAATTGGGACTTTAAACGTTAAATATGCTGACATTTCATAATTATGCTTCATAGCCATAATTTGTTGTAGTGGTCGTTAAATTTTGTATTCGTTTCGATATCTGCAGATTTTAAAGTTGTCAAGTGTTGGTCAATTACATTTCTGATAGAACTTTTAGTCATATGATGCGATTGCTGTAGCCAGGTGTTCCCATACCCCAGATTTTCTATAAAATGACGTATTTGTGATGCCCAGTTGTATTCAGCCGTTCCCAGGAGTCGAGGTGTTTCAACCGATTATAAAGCAAATTCGTATAAGACGTTGGTTTTTGTTTTAATACTTTCATCCACCAGTTTAATGCTCGCGCCCATACGAAGTTACTAACATGCCTCGCGCCGGTTTCCAGGCGGAGCATATGATTAGGGGTAGTTTTCTGACATTGCAGAACGTCTTTGAGATACTTGGTGAGTATTCCTTCAAGCCCTTCCGGTTTAAAAACGGCCCATGTTTCAGCTCCATGCAGAGCGGTAGCTTGGACAACACTATGAAATAGTTTGAATTTTTCATTCCATGAACTCGATTTGCCTTTTATGAGGATTGCTTTAACATTACCGATTGCAACTAAGGCCTTCTTTTTTGCCTCTTTTGTTGCTTCATTAAATTTGCCCGTTGATGTAAATGTAACGCCAAGATTTGAAAATTTATTTACAACTTCTAATGGATCGCGATCATAATAAAACTTAACATTTTTTGAATGTGTTCACAATTTAATGGATGTAGGTAGATTTCCACGACTGAAGTATACCTCTCTATGGCGTATTTGGGGCTGAGTGGTAGACCAGACTGTTAATACTTTTTACCAATCTGAATCTTAACCCCTTGAGGGAAACTGGAAGGACTAAGAAATTGTAATGATCATGCTCATGTACCTGATGATGTATTCTATATGTTAAACCCAATAAACGATTTATTATTATTATTATTTCTGAATCTCCAAATTGTTTTAGACAAGAAATCCAAATTTTTTGGATAAGATATCCAAAAAGTTCGGAAATTTTTTGACAAGATAGTCCTTTAGACAAAAAACTCAAATTTTTTGGACAAGATACCCAAAATGCTTAAAAAGTTCTTAACAAGATATCCTACAAAATTAATGTCGACAATTGCCATAATCTACGGATCGTTTAAACTACCCCAAGGCTATGTTATATAAGATCAGATGTTAAGCACGGGGTTTCTAGGTAAGTTATTGCTTGTACGAATGCCTGTAAAAAAAACACTTGTTCTAACAACGAGGAAACAAAGATTCTATTTAGTAAAGGGTTCTGTGGTTCGGATTTCGAGAGGAAATTTCATGTATGCAATTTGTTTGGGGTCACTTAAAACAATAATTCAATTTCTCTTTTTTATTTATGGCCATTTGCACCTCTAAAAAGCATTATGCGGGTCACTCTGTAATTGGGCGCAAGCCTGTTGAGGGCCCAGAACAAGAGAAGGATCATAAATAAATAAATAAAATCATTGTTGCAATAATGGATTTTAAGCTACTCTTAAACTAAGCTCCTCTGAAATATGTCGGTGCAAACGGCAATTGGTCAAGTCGAATTCAATTTGTATCAATGCATACGCTTATACAGGAAAAAATGTTGGAGAGTTGGAATTGGAGTTGGAACTTGGATTTCTTGTCGGTCCCCAAAATAAATACCTATAGCAAAGGTCTGAGTCCTGATCACCAACACCACAGATTAACTGACACCCACCCCGACCTTATCCCCTCTGTACTACAAGAATTAAATGTGGTAATTTAATTTCCTTCTTCTGCACTACCTTTCCATATTGCTGAGGTACATCATCAGCATCATGATAGTTGTGTTGTGGATAGTACCTATTATAGTTTCCAACGCAACATTAAATTTGATATGCTTTCGTTGCTCATAATTGTTTCCAGACAGAGGCAATAATTTTGTCACCAACAAACAGTAAATGTACCACTTACAGAAGAAAACTGGACTTGTATACTAAAAGTAGAAAGAAAACAAATTTGCCATCCGACCTATACATTAAGATCAGTCATTTAAAATACATATTTTACAAAGTATAGGCATACAAATATAAGTGAATTTTCAATTTGGAATCAACATTCCAAAATCAGAAAATATATTTAGAATGACCGAAAAAGATTTGGCAAGCTTGTTGGACCAACATGCTTGCAAAGTGCTTCACCAGTAAAAAGTCATCTTGCAAATTTGAAGAAATTGGATGGACCAGTTGGGACACTGACAAACTGCATAAAATGGTGAAAGTGATTAGCATAATGTACCTGCAATAAAGCAGCTGACAAGAATCATTTATTTGACTAATATATAGAGGCGAGAAGTAGACATAGGGATTTCCTGTGTCTACTTTTACATGATAAAAATTCTCTTGAAAGACGCCTAATTATATGCAACCAAAATAACTTCTTGAAACAAATAAAGATCTGGCTGTCATATTAATTATTAATTTGAATATTGTGTCTTTAGCTTCACAGAAAATAAATCTCTTAAGCTCCTTTAACTGTTATCGGCACTATACCAATTTGAAATAACTTTTTCTTTAGTTGAATCGAAAGTAGAATAGGCAGGTCAAAAGCGATAATATTCAAAATTAATATGATAGGCAGATCCTCATTTGTTGTAAGTAGTTACTTTGGTTGCATAAAATTAGGCGTCTTTCAGGAGACTTTTTATCATGTAAAAGTAGATAGGAAATTCCTATGTCTACTTCTACATGAATATCACTGCATATAAAAGGTTTGGAGCACTCTTGGTAGGTTTCTTAATTCTTCATCATTTACAATAGCAATATTTTTTTAAATTACTATCATGGACACATTTACTATACGATTCGTAATAATCAAGACGGCTAACGGTACCGTGCAATCGAAAAATATACGTCCCATTTTTTTCTACACTCACTGTAGCTTCGAATATGGACGACGGCATAAGTTTCATCCTCAATAAAAGATATGTATTGTTATCGAAATGATTGTCCGAAATACTGGATGACATGACTTTGAATAATTTGAATTCGGCACATTTTTTGGATTCGTTTTTATAAGATTGTATTGTCTCGTGCATTTGGTGAAGTACGTACTTTATAGCTAACTGTACGGAAGTGTGATTTTCGGGATATTTCTTATACCCCCTACAGCTGCACCAATGCTGGGCGATACTGGCGTCCTCGCACGATCGGTCCTCACTGATCGGTGTGAAAAATGACCGGCAAGTGGGGCATCCACTGCTCGGCGTTACTGTGTGGTTCCCCTTGCTCATCAACAAAATATCCTGCAGGGTCATGTGAAAATCGTAGGGTGTCGTCAGTTTGTTACTATTCATTTTTAAATTGGCCGCTTCTGCTGGGTATTTCTCTTGAAAGTTGCGCGGTAGGTGCACAAACAAAAATGGCAACTTCTCCTCCAACCATCCGGTCGTAGTATACCTGAATTCGCCAAAGCGAAATCCGTGGTCGCTGTAGAAGAAAACAATGGTGTTATCCAACAAGTGATTTTCCTGAAGATAACCGAGAAGTTCTCGCAGTTTATAGTCCATCCGTGACACTGTTCCCAGATCATTGTGACTGAAAGAATTCATCCAGAAAAACCCAAAGTAAAGATAAGTCGCGAAAGTTTTGGCAAAAGCAGTGATCAAATCAAAAACTCGTTCTCCGGCCGATTCTGGTCCAGTGCAGTAGTTCAATCCGTCAAGTTTCTCTACATCTAACCATTGTTCTGTGCTCATTAAATACGGTCGAAAATAATAGTCGGTCGGCGGTCGCCGAAAGCCTTTCTTGAGATAGTTGAATGTGCCAATTTTGTACGCGTCTTCAGCGTAAGCGGTTACAAAACCTGAGCTTTGGTAATCGTACCAGATCATTTTGCAATTGTCGAAGGACCCCAGTTTATTCGGGTTGCATGTCTCGGATGCTTTAGTTTCATTCATTCCGGTCAGTATCGCCATTAGGTTAGGGAAAGTGTTGTCTCCAATCTTGTTGTAGCCTCGGAAGTCTATCCAGTCATTTTTTTGTAAATGAGCGAATGTGAGTGGTAGAGCGCGCATGAATTGCAGCCGTGAGACGCTGTCAATTCCGATAGACAAGACGCTTACACGTTCGTTTTTGCTCAGTTTGCTTACTACACTTTCCTTTATTGTAATAGGTTCGTGAATGTTCTTATATACAGGCGTATTCGTCTCAGCTACCACACACTTTACAAGTATTGTATCTTGGGAACATTGCACACTGTTCTGGAACGTAATACAGGGTGTCAATCTGAAAAATGAAAAGATAAAACACTTCTCTTCTGTGTCTATACCTACTCAATTTTATCATCGGGGTTGTCGATGTCGGAGCCTCTTTTGATGTAACTGTAGCAGCATGATATATCATGCGGACTGTAAAACAGTGCGGCACTTCGATTAATGTGTAAAATTGCTTGGTTGTTTTCTATTGTTAGAAAGGACAGCAGTGGGTAAATGGAGCATTTTTGGTATAATGAATTAAATTTAAATCCATCAGTGTCTTTGTTGAACGGTTGTAAGTTTGGTATTTTGCATTTTGGACTGAATACCAAATAATCATCTAAAATTGAAAAAATTATTAGGTCACTTTGGGTACGATAACGCCTCTTCAATTACAAAACTGCACGCAGCCTAGCGTGAACCAATAAAAATTTACTGTGCAGTCCAATCTGGAACATCCATAGTTTTTGGTTTGAATATTAAAAATCTTTCCGAGGATAAAGTGACATGGTAGGCAAAGTTAAAACAATAGAGGTCATGATTATGTGTTAGCACACACTTCAAGAAAAGAACGAAGATTTGAAATAACAGTTTCTTCAAAACGGAGGATGGCTCACCTTTACAGACGCATGATATACGCATTTGGCAAGATTGAGAAGATGAACGCAATTTTATATTAGCATAAGTTAACGTATAGGTTGAAACAAAAACCAAACATTTCCAATTAGAGCTACATACTGAACATAGGGGACACGGTCAACTCGCCAAGAGCGGCTCGCCACCGACCGACTAGCCAATGGAACAACTCGCCAACGGGACAACTCGTCACCGCGACAACTCGCCAACGGACGACTCGCCACTGCGACAACTCGCCAACCAAATATTTTTCCCTGTTTAACGTGTCATGCAAATGCATCCCACAAATGCAATAGTCAATTTCCCTAATTTTGTAAAAAAAGTTAATCGAAAAATTGTAGTCAATATTTGAATGAAGACCCAATCGCCTATACCTGTTTCTATTACTGCATTTTGATATAACGACATCTTCTGCAAATTATTATTTGAATAGAAAATTTGACAATCACATCGTTATTTGAACGACACATTAAACAGGGAAAAATATTTCGTTGGCGAGTTGTCGCAGTGGCGAGTCGTCCGTTGGCGAGTTGTCGCAGTGGCGAGTTGTCGCGGTGGCGAGTTGTCCCGTTGGCGAATTGTCCCGTTGGCGAGTCCGTCGGTGGCGAGTGGTCCGGTTGCGAGTCGCCCTTGGCGAGTTGACGAGTACCGGAACATAGGTACCATATAAAGCGAGGACAGATATAGTTTTGGTATTTTCTGGCACTTTTTTTATCCCCCAGTTTTATTTACAATTTGTCCTACAACATTAAGTAAATGTAATAGCAACAATAAAGCTTTAACACAATAATTTATTCTGGCACATAAACTAAAAAATGCTATTTCTCAAAAAAACGCATCGGTTGCAAACTTTCCCTTCATACACATTCCAAGCTAAAGAATTCATATATTAAACTTACTATTATTGTTATATTGAATGTCTGATGATATCTTGCGCTGTCTTGAGATGAATTCTTGGTATGATTGGGTATAAATAATGTAGACTACTACGAGTGATATCAAAAACACAGCAACGCTTATTCTTGCCAACATATCTACCTGAAACTTATGGACCAAACCTGTTCGCAGACAAGTTATCTATTAGCGAAAACAGAATTTCAAAATCTCAAGTTATGTGCACACTGTAACGGACAGACAGTCAAAAATTCCGATTTCCAACGGAGTCTTTCCACCTTATAATGGTTTTCGCGCATTCAGAGAGCCACAGAAACTACCTACCTCATTTCTGTTTTTCCGCATTCTTATCGATATTATTCTATATCTTATCAATACTGATTTAGAAAAATAATTCAATACAACATGGCTTACTTATGAATGCAACTAAATCATCTATTATTATAGTTGGCAAACAATTAAAAAATAACGGCGAGCTCGTGCATGGAAAGATGAAAATTACGTTAATCAATTAATATTTAGAAATCTAGGGTTACTTAGTCGTCGTCAACGGTGAGTGCAGTCTTTGCAAGTCCAATATTATACCATAATCATCAACGCATACAAAGGAGTATTATACCTATTTAAATCTGTGGGAGTATAGTAACTGCTGAGTCCCTGCACCTTTTGATAGTAACAATTTATTTGTTTATATTTATTGGTTTATTGCAGAGGTAACGGGATTCTGTTGGGCAGATTTTAGTTTTTTGCAGACACAATACTAGGACATCCTTTCACATATCTTATATTTGAATTGAGCTCACCTTCGATGGTCCGAGCAGACTATAATTCGGCGTGCAACTGGTTCAGGTGCTGACGCTGCATGGGTATTTGATCATAGGAATGAATCAAAAGGTTCTTTCCTGGAATGCCATTACGACCCAGCCGAAAAAATTTAATCCCATCAGTGTTCCCCTTTGCCTAAAATGTTGATAGTGGACTCATTGATCTTTCAAATCATTTGACTTCTTCGCGATGTATTGCAATTAAATCTTATCTTTAGCTTGCACACAACGAATTTCATCACGAGCTAAATTTGTACAGGTTGCATGAATAGACTATCGCAACAAATTTCTTTGTCTGGAGTAAGATTTGACAAACAAGATACTGAACTTTAAAATGTTGACGCCATTCTTCAGTGCTTAACTCTTTTTCTCTACAGCTGAATGCTTCTGTTCGGTTTGCGACAACGTTCTCGAAAAGAAAGACTTGATTGAGGGCACTTTTATTCTGATTAATTGTAAGGTTGTAGATTTTAACTGCTTCAAGGAAAGAATAGACAAATTCTGATCGTGTTCTTCCACTCCATTCGTCTCTATTAAACTGATATAGATTTCCATCTGCTTTTGTATCTACATGTATTTTCCTTGGATCTTATACGAGATCCTCCTGGTATTTCAGGGGCTCTCTGTGGCTTTGAAAAGGTTTCCGTCCCTTCTCTAGAGTACAACTTTCGGACAACGAACTGCCCCTACTGGGCTTATTATGGAAATGAATTTATATAATGTATGACCCACTCTAAGATATACAGTTTACGAGTTTTTTTATGCAGTAAACAAAAATGTCCAAAAATTTAGACATTTTCCCCTAAATCTCCTCTTTTGGAAATAAAACAAAGAGATTTACACGACTTTTAATACTTTGTTGGAGGACTCCATGTTATGTTTGAGTAATTAGATATATAGACATAGAGAAAAATTAAAAATTGAGACTCAAACAGTATATTAAGATACAAGTGTATAATCAAGTCTTTAAAGCACGCGCAACGAGTTTAAGGGCACGACGCAAAGCGGAGTGCCTTTAACGTTGCAAGTGCTTTAGAGACTGTTGTATATTAATAGAAATTAGTAGTGGGTTGTGTGTGTGTAACTATGGTTTTAGTGTCGTTTTGTTAGGAATTAACAGAAGTTGTTCTGTAAAATGAACCAAAATTAGTGGGGGAGACTGTTGTATATTAATAGAAATTAGTAGTGGGTTGTGTGTGTGGCAATAGTCTGTATCTCACTACTTTTTTCATCGACGCTTATATGAAGGTATGCTTTGAATAAATCTAGTTTGCAGTAGTATTTCGAATTTCGGAGACTACAGAGCACGTCGTCAATCCTGCGAATTGGAAAGTTAGATGATACCAGTCGATCATTTACTCCGCATTTGTAATCGACACAAAGTCGAACTGTACCGTCAGGTTTTGGAATAACAACAAGTGGTGAACCCCAATCACTAGTCGTTACGGGAGTGATAATTCCAGCATTTTCTAAATTATTAAGTTCCTTTTCGACTCGACTTCTGAGTGCATATGGCACGTCACGATCTTTAGTGAAAATTGGCTTGGCGTCTTCACGTAAGACAAGTGAGACTTTTATGTTTGGAATACATCCAATTTGTTCCTCAAAAATGTTGGAAAATTTTTGAAAAATGTCATCAATTTGAAGTACATTGTTAACAGAGCTAAAACTAGTTTGTTGTTTGCTTTCCATGTCTGTGTCAATTTGTTTAAGTTCAAGTTTTAACCCTCTGATCCAGTCACGTCCCAAAATTGTATCATGACCAGATGGAACTATGTATAACTCGGCAAGTGGCATCGTTTTGTCTTTATATTTTACTGATACTTCAATTTTCCCTTTACAAGGTATGATATTTTTCGAATAAGTACGAAAACTTATGTTTGAAGGTTGAAGAGTGGTATTCAGATTTAGAGCTTTGAATTTGTCCTCAGGTAAAATCGAAAATTTTGCTCCAGAATCTACCTCCATATTTATCTCGTTATTATTAACAAGAACAGATATGACATATTTATCAGAGTTGGTTTTACATGTATATAAATCTATTGTTGTGACAGTTTGAATCATATTCACTCCGTAATTGTGTGGCAGTGTTAAAATTTGTGAATTTGAAATATAATCTTGTGTTTGTTGAGTATTGTGACATATATCCGCACTAATCTGGTGGTTGTCACTTTTTGACTTTAATAATGTAAGGATACAAACACGATCTACGTGTCCAATTTTTCCACAAGATTCACAGCGTAATGAGTTCCTATCTATTCTGCACGAGTTTGATCGATGATTTGATTTTCCACATGAAAAACATAAATTTGAAATTCCAAGTGCATGATAGTTAATAGAACGTGGCAAACGGGAATGATACCTACTTTGATGACTCCTATTTGTTTTTATTGTTGAATTGGCAGGAGTAGGTGATCTTTCAAAACGTGTATTTGATCGTGGTTTTTTGTAATTGCTTCTTGATCGGTTTTTGTGAAAATGTGACGTTTTGTTTATGTCAGTCGAACATCCTGGAACTGGTGTTGAATTATTTGAAACAGATAATTCCCGGCTTTGAATTTTCGAGGATTCCAAGGCAATTGCTTTTCCTGTAATATCATTAAAATTAGATAAATTAGCTTGCAAAAGTTGTTCTCTTATCCATTGATCCTTTATTCCTCTTATAAATTGGGCCCGTAGGAAAATTTCAGCAACAGAAATCTTTTTCTTGCACTCGCATTCCACATAAAACTGACATTCCGAAAGTTGACTCTGTAGTGTTGCAACAAATTCAGCAATGTTTTGTTTATAGTTTTGTACCGTAGAAAGAAAATAGTGTTGTTCAACTACATCATTTCTTTTCGGGCTCAACATTTTGGTGAACGATGTTACAAGGTCTGCGTAGTTCATAGTTTTGATTGGTTTATCAGGTCCAAGTAATGCCGATAAATTATTATAATGTACTGAACCAACAGATGCTGATAATATTTGAGCTTTCTTTTCATCCGCAGTTACATTCCGGACAGCTACATAATTTTCAAAACGTTCAACGTAGTTTCGAAATTTCTCCTTTTTTGAATCAAATTCTTGAAATGGTGGTACAATTTGGTCCGTTGTGACTGTATTCGATGAGTTAATCACTTGACGTTTGCTTATAAAAATCATCGTCTTTGTGAATAATAGGCCTAAAGGAAATGTCAAAGGTATTTAAATCTTCTATTTTTTGGTGCATTCATTCAAAACTTCAAACATTGCTGCGACTAAAAAGTGGAACAGATTTGGAAGCATGCCCTAAATTGAGCGCGTTTGTGGAAGCTTGAACCAAAGGATAGGTACAAGCCAAAGCAATGTTCTGCATTTATAGAAAGCGACCTAAGAGGATTTTTTACTTCAACCCCAGATGACAGTTTCAAAAGTCATACTTGAAGTATCATTACCTAGCAACTTTAAAGCACGTGTGTTTTAAAGGCCTTTTTTCGCACGCATTTGAGTGTTTTAAACGGAGATTGTGATTCAGGTATAATAAAAAAGTTTTTAAAAACTTAAAACACTTTTTGAGTCTCAATTTTTTATTTTTCTCTGTCTAGATTTTTAATACCTGCAAGAGTCAGGCGACGCATACCAAAAGTTTTATTATTACATTTGGCCAGGGACTGTGGAAGATCAAAGTTAATCAACGTTAGTGCAGGTTGTTCCTTCAACTGAAACAAGTAAAGAAAGTAATCGTAAACGATTTGCAAAAAGCGTATTTCCACATTAACAGGGTCTTGTCCGAAAGAAATAGTTACTCCAGCAAAATCTGTTTTCAGCCATTTATAAAAGGGAGGTCTTGACGCTATCGCTAAATTTGTGACTTACGCTTAAATGCTTTAAAAAAGGTTAATACGCTTGTGCAATTTGCATAGATCTGTCTAAAGCGTTTGACAGCGTCCAACATCTAATTTTATTAGACAAGCTCGAGAAAGTCTATGGGTTTGAATACTAGCAAACCCCTCATTAAATCATATCTTACAAATAGGTTTCCATGTGTAAGGATAAATAATAACCTATCAGGAAAGCTCTGTATATCGAAAGGAGTACCCCAAGGTAGTATTCTGGGGCCTCTTTTCTTTTTAATATATATTAACGATATGCCAAGCTTTATTAATATTAAAAAAGTTCCCAAATAAGAATGTTAGCACTGCGCCTGCACAACCTATATTCTTTGTACGTCATTTCAATTCGATTTTATAAGAGGCATCTTAACGTATAAAACAATCCAATACAACTGCTAAAACCCGAACGAGGTTCGAGATCATTATACATTCATCAATTTTACAACACGCCTTAAGGGGGTGATTCTGTCCCACCAGATCAGCATAGCTTCTACCACATTAGCGTATGAGCCGGATTAAAAGTCTGGTTTGTAGTAGTGAGTTAAGAGGACAGATGTATGGTAATATGAAGCCAGTGCTCGGTCTAAAACTGCAGGAATCTGTTTATCACCAGGTTAGTATTGCAAGAGCGGTAGTTTATAGTGACGTCTCACTTGGTAACGGCGGGGGGAGTGGATTCATTTGGAATTTTAACCATGTTTACTTAACTTGGCACAATTAGTTTTACTTTCTCGATAACGAATATTGAAATACAAATTAATTTAGATAGTGTAAATGGTAGGGAACCTTACATTCTACCATTGAATTAGCAATTTTTACCCCCTCTCCTAGTTTCCCTTTTGAAATAAATGTTGTACAGTGTTAATCTGCCATAAAAACGAAGTAATGAAACAGCTTTGAGGTTTTTGCGATTTTCAGTATGAAACTATAGTACCCATTTTATATGGTAGAATACCTCCAGTTTGGAATCGACTCTCCAAAACGACCAAATATATTTAGAAAAGCTTCAATCTTATTAAGCTTGTTGGACTTACATGCTGCAATAAAATCCCTCGCAGAATCAGCAAAACTGCACAAAATGGTGAAAATCATTAGCAAGTCAGTTCCATCCACTCCATACCAGCAATAAAGCATCGACGTCTAAGCTGACTTAAGAATAATTTATTCGATTGATATAGGCGAGCATATATAAAACGTTTGGAACATATTAAGAGCACTTTTAGTAGAATTATCTTACTCGTAATCATCTACAATAACAATATTTTTTTAAATTACTATCATTGACACATTTACTATGTGATTCGTAATAATCAAGACGGCTAACGGTACCGTGCAATCGAAAAATATACGTCCGATTTTTCTCTACACTAACTGTAGCTTCGAATACGGACGAAGGTGTTAGCGCAGTCCTAGTCTGTGGTATAAGTTTAATCATCAATAAAAGATATGTATTGTTATCGAAATAATTCTCTGAAATACTGGACGACATTACTCTGTATAACTTGAATTTGGCACATTTTTTGGATTCATGTTTATAAGATCGTATTGTCTCGTGTATTTGGCGAAGTACGTACTGTATGGCTAACTGCACGGATGTGTGATTTTCGGGATATTTCTTGTACCCTCTACAGGTGCACCAATGCTGGGTGATACCTGCCTCCTCGCACGATCGGTCCTCACTGATCGGTGTGAAAAATGACCGGCAAGCGGGGCATCCACTGCTCGGCTTCACTGTATAGTTAGTTTTGCTCATTAACAAAATATCCTGCAGCGTCATGTAAAAATCGTAGGGTGTCGTCAGTTTGTTACTATTCAATTTTAAATTGGCAACACTGGCTGGGTATTTCTCTTGAAAGTTGCGCGGTAGGTGCACAAAAAGAAACGGCAACCTTTCTTCTAGCCATCCGGTCGTGGTATACCTGAAATCGCCAAAGCGAATTCCGTGGTCGCTGTAGAAGAAAACAATGGTGTTATCCAACAAGTAATTTTCCTGGAGATAACGGAGAAGTTCTTGCAGCTTATAGTCCATCCGTGAAACCGCTCCCAGATAATTGTGGCTGAAGGAATTCATCCAGAAAAATCCAAAGTAGAGATAAGTCGCGAAAGTTTTGGCAAAGGCCTTAATCAAATCGAAAACTCGTTCTCCGGCCGATTCGGGCCCAGTGCAGTAGTTCATTCCGTCAATTTTCGTGACATTTAACCATTTTTCTGCGCCCATTAAATACGGTCGAAAATAGTAGTCGGTCGGCGGGCGCCGAAAGCCCTTCTTGAGAAAGTTGAATGTGCTAATTTTGGCCTCGTCTTCACCGTAAGCGGTTACAAAATCTGAGCTTCGGTAATCGTACCAGATCATTTTGCAATTGTCCAAGTAGCCCAGTTTCTTCGGGTTGCATGTCTCGTACGCTTTGGTCTCATTCATTCCGGTCAGTATCGCCATTAGATTAGGGAAAGTGTTGTCTCCAATCTTGTTGTAGCCTCGAAACTCTATCCAGTCATTTTTTCGTAAATGAGCGTAAGTCAGTGGTAGGGCGCGCGTGAAGTGCAGCCGTGAGACGCTGTCAATTCCGATGCATAAAACGCTTACACGTTCATTTTTGCTCAGTTTGCTTACTACACTTTCCTTTATTGTAATAGGTGCGTGAATGTTTTTATATACAGTTGTATTCGTCTTAGCTACAACGCACTTTACAAGTATTGTATCTTGGGAGCATTGCACACTGCTGTAGAAAGTGATACATGGTGTCAATCTGAAAAATGAAAGGATAAAAAACTTCCCCTCTGTGTCTGTACTGTACCTACTCAATTTTGTTATCGGGGTCGATAACGTCGAAGCTTCTTTTAATGTAACTGTAGCAGCATGATATATAGTACGGACTGTAAAACGGTGCAGCACTTCGGTTGATGTGTAAAATTGCTTGATTTTTTTCTATTGTTAGAAAGGACAACAGTGGGTAAATAGTACATTTTTGGTAGAATGAAAAAATATTAAATCCATCAGTATCTTTGTTGAACGGTTTTACGTTTGGTATTTTGCATTTTGGACTGAATACCAAATACGAATCACCTAAAATTGTAAAAAAATGATTAGGTACTTTTGGATACCTTTTACATTAAAAAATTACACACAGCCTTGCAAGAACCAATAAAAATTTTCTGTAGAACGCTCTTATTGTTTGCGTACTGAAAATCTTTGCAACACTTTGAGTATAGTATACTTTATATCAGGTATGTCAAACTCATTTATCATCAAGGGCCATTTATAAGTTTCAACTTATAGCTGCGGGCCACATTATACAAAAGTTCACATAAAAAATGGTGATTTTTTACTATTAACAAAAAGGTAGGTATACAAAATAATACAAAAAAAAACGAAAAAATGCAAATAATCATAAAATCATTAGTACGCGCTCAAGAAAATGTACCGTGTGTCCTATTTTGGTTGAGACTGCAGTGTATTTCAGTTGTTTTTAAAGACAAAAGACTTGTGCTTTTCGCCACCCTTGTGAAAAAGAATCAATCCAATTACGTTTGTTTCTGAGGTCTGAGATATAGGGCGAATGTGAAAAATTGGACTTGTTGTGACGTTATCATATCTGACTACCCATGTAAGATAGAAAAAAGGTAAAAACTGCCTATTCTAGGTATTTTTACGTAGAATCCAGTGACGTAGTAAAAAAAAATTGGACAACCGTTTCTGAGATTTGACCCAAATTTGATATTTTTTATATGCAACACCATCTTGTTGCATTCTTTTTCGTGATTGCATTAATGTATCATCCTATATTTATTTAACCATTTATCAAAATTTTGAAATGACATGTACCGTCAGCCATTAATTTTGTTGATTGGCATCGACTGCTTTAGTTGCAGTGGAGACAATAAACAAAACAAAATCTTCATGAATCCATGACCTACTATTTACCTAAAGAAGAAGGAAAATAGTTATTTACGTATTATTTATGTATTCCAAACGTCAAACGTAATTTTAAATAATTCAATTCATCGTGAATGAGGAAGAAGTTCCAGAAACTATTCGAATTAAGGCCAATCTTGTAATTTAGTAGGTATTGACAATTAATAATTGACGTTTCTAATTTTCAATGACCTGCAAATATTTGTTTGTTTTGTCATTAATGAGTTACTATGGTGATACTTAATGCCCTAGGGCATAAAGAGGTACTTTATGCCCGCGTATCACAGATATAAAATGTGCTATGATAGGTTAGTAAGACATAAAAGGTTTTTATCGCTAAAATAATAAAAAATAGGTTGTGATACACCAATGTAATCAGGAATAGGAATGATAAGAAATTGACGTTAAGATATACAGAGTGTTGTATTTAAGAACTAAATACCAACTTTGGGTCAAACCTCAGAAATTGTTTGTTTTCACCCCGTATCTCAGAAACAAACGTAGCTAGATTGGTTCTGTTTGTGGTATTATACGTTTCACAAAACCGCAAGTCTATCTTTAAAAACAGCTGAGGTACACTCTCTTCGAAAATAGGACACACGGTACAATTAAATTTTATAATTTACAAAAATCGCGATGGGCCGCAGGTTTCAGAACGGAGGGCCGCGAGTTTGACATGCCTGCTTTATATAATCAAAGGCGATCATTGTGTAGATATTTTGAAAACATTGAAGAAATGTATCGTTAATTAAAAGTTGGTTTTTATACAATTTATTAACCATAACACGAATCTGAGGGTTCCCACCCATCTTCCAAAAACTGCAATGCACCATATTATTGGGAAACAATGAATAATGCAGTCACAGCTTTTGCTAGGAATGGGATACGTCTGCATTACATTCAATTAAGATGAACGCGCAATTTTATGTTAGCATAGGATAGTTTTCGTATTTTCTGGCAGATAAACCAAATAAATATCATCTCTCAAAATAAACGCACTTTCCCTTCATACACATTCAAAGCTAAAGAATATGTTAAACTTACCATTAACGTTATATTGGCTACCATCCGATATCTTGCTCGCTCTTGAGATGAGTTCTTGGTATGTTTGGGTATAAATAATGTAGACCACTATAAATGATATCAAAAACACAACGACGCTTATTCTTACAAACATTCCATTCGAAATTAAGTGTTGGGTTGAACCGAAATAAGGACTGTAAAGACAAAAATAAAGAGAAAATGGGTATATGGTGTGGGCAAAATTTAAAATCTTCAGGAATTTATATCAATGCGTTAGGGCATGCGTGTCGTGGAGCTGTTTTAATCAATAATCATCTAGCGTGATGGATGTTGTCAGCTGTAACATTAATTTTAAATCCCAGAAATGAGTTTAATTATAGCACAATCGAATTTGAAATCGTGTAATTTTATTGAGGAAAACGGAAGTCATTATTAACGCCGCCCAAAGATCGCATAAAGCGCGCGTTTTGGTAGCGAAGCTGCCATCTTCGCCGAATTTGTTACCTGAAACTTGTGGGCCAATCCTGCTGGGCCCCAAAATAATAAATAAACATAAATCGCGCCTTCGAACTTCTCCAAGCGGCGACAAGTTATTGATCAGCAAAAGCTTCAATGTCATATAACTACCAAGTCTTTTAACTTTGATTGATGGTGATACTTATTCAAAAGTGAAAGACCCCCCAAAATTCTAATCCGAACTTCCAGGATTTAGCCAAAAATGGTAGGGTTGCGCAAAAATGCAGCAAATCGAAGATATAAACGCTTCACACACGTGATTTTTTCACGCTTCAAGTGCCAAAAAAAATACTCCAAAACGTTTTTCGAGTTGTGGCTATACGAGTATATAGCCCAGTCAAAGAAGCAGGTCTAGCGTAGGTACGCGAGCAGGGAGTTGAGCGATCTTCTTGGGTAGTGAACATACACAAAGTCCTGATGCTTAGTGTGAGTCATGGAGAAGCTGTGGAGGGAAAGGAACAATTTTTGAGTTTTCCGCTTTTATATTGACAACGGTTCATCATAGGGGAAAATGTTACCAACAGATTTTAAGCTACAGACTTAGTAAATTTATTAAGCGGCAGAGCAAGCTTTATAGGAGAGTCAATGGTGTCCGTCTGCCCATGAACATGAGTTGAATTCATACCAATCAACCATTTTCCGACCTCTGCCTCTTGTTGTGTCTCTGCTTTTGAATGATCCAATCAATGTGGTTTCAATAGTCATGTCCGACCAAAAACGACCCAAGCGCCGCATTGTAAAGTAGCCCCTGGTGGTGAATGCAAAGGTGTCATTGTTGATGGTAAGCTCTCCATATCCTGAACATACAACTGGAAGGACTTGGCGTAGGATCCACTCTCTTTAATGTATTGTAGAGAATTTAGTTACCTTTCATTTAATATAAGAACATTATCCTCTACGATGAATCGTTTTCAATGTACAAGCGGAAAACACAAAAATCGTATGGATTAAAATTTCTTCAATAGCATTTCGCGTAAAAGAATACCTCCTACAAAGGTTTTATTACCTGTCAAGACTGTGAAACTATGAACGATTCTTGATAAAATAGAATTCTACAAAGGCGAACACTGAAATCATTTACAATTTACAAAAGGCACTTTTCTTCATCGGAAAATACCATTTCGTATAGAGAACTATTTTTCCCAACGAAGTTATTTTGTGCTGCCTTATCCAATATTTTCCCTAAAATCGGTCGATAGACTATGATTTTCGGCAGCTGCAACTAAAACTTCATCCATGACCATAGTACAATATTCCCATTATCCATTCTGAAAGTTTGATTGATCCACACTCTATCTACATACAATTTTGCTACATTCAATCTGTTTGCGGTATAGATAAATAAGACTTATACAAGGTTTTAGTGGACGGATATAGCTCGAGGTAATACCACCGCAACCACACACTCCACTTTTGTCAGAGCTTAACTGTCAAAACTTTCAGGCATGACGTTTGTGTTTGAAAATTGTACTTTCGTACTGTTTGCAATTGCTATGGATACAGCATGCAGGGCCCGTTATTTTATTATTCTGCTGAAGGTGCTGTGCGCTAGAGCTTTCACCCTATGTGTAAGAAGACCTTACGTCAGGTCCTTATATAAATTGACTTTTCATATAAAGTCAATACCACTGATTTTGGCTCAGGTAATAAATTATTAAGAAAATTGCAAATTGCTCATGCGGAGCACATCTGATTATTACTATTTGATCGCTATAGAAAAGAACGTAAAGATTTTTCTTGCCTCAGGTGCCAGAACTATAACTATAAACCGAATACAAAATCTGCAGGACTTGTTAGAAGTCTCAAGACGGATTTTTTGAACATTTTTAGGCACCTCCTACTTACACTTTTTAGCTTTCCTAGTGTAGATAGAACTAAAAATATTCAGTAGGTATGTGTCAAATTATTGGTAAAAAAAATGTTTCTTTAAAAATTGACTTATTTATTATCATATGCGAAGCTTTTAAAAAACCGATTTTTAAAAGTCTCCTCGACTAAAAATGGACTGTTTTAACATGGTAATGGCACATATTTAAAATTAAAATGTCAACAGTCGACATATGAGGTGCCATTGTATTATAAATGTCACGTTAAATCGAAATATGTAAGAATAATATACAGAGGGGTCCCACCTAACAGTTTTCATTTCCGGTTACACTAGGAGCCATACAAAACAATTGAATGCGCCTCTTAATGCATATTAACATTCCAATACACAGTTGCCAAATGTCTAAAAAAATAAAGTAATAGGAGAAAATATCCTTTTAGAAACACCCACTATAAAAACATCAGATACATTTACCTTACAAACAGCTTCACAGTCGGGAGTGATTTAACTATGCGTACTACAACATGATCACTTGACAAATACTAAACTAAACGCTTACTACAGCCATGGATGAGTATCTTAGTCTTATCCTAGTAGCCAAGTAGAAGTGTGATTAGTATACAAATTCACAGTTAAGTTTCTTTCTCCAAGGTTTTACAGAACACCCCCTAACGGAGAATCATACAGGAAGAGCTGTGAAAGAAACCAGAAAAACTTTTTTTAATTTGACAACACGAAACACCTAATCTTGAGCACAAATAGGTACGAAGCTTTTCACTTTTGTTATATTGCTTCTCCATGGGGCTAACAAACCTGGCGTCAATGTTGAAACAGTAGAGGAAAAAGGGGCAAAGTAACGAAGCCAGGAAAAATGTGCACTTGTGGTGGCTGCCACCTTCGTTTCGGCTCTTAGAGAAAGTATGGCTAAATATTACGGGCCCCAAAGTTACCAATTAGTTATGAAATTCATTTAATATCCAATTTTAAAAAGTACTTGACTGTATCACTACAAAAAAGAATTTCATTCCATTAAAATAAATGCGGGCCGCTGCCCCCCCCCCCAAACAAAGGTTTACGTGTGAAAAAGCATTTTGATTTGTTTATTTACAAGAAAAAAAACTGACAACTTTGTGATACGCCGCCCAATATATTTAATTACGTTAGTGACTCATGAAAGTAATCAAAAACACTCACATTTTCCACATGGAACATGAAGGCATACAACCGCACTTACTGGCGATTCAATCGCAAATGATTTGCGTTTAGGAATAAATTAGATTATAACACCGATGTAGATAAACAGAAACAGATGCAGGTCATCTGATAGTCTGCCCTCTAATGTTTAAGATTCTGGTCGTTTTGGATTGTACAGGCCAAAATCTTTTTTTGATAGATTTTTCGGCTGAAGACTCGGGATTATTTAAGTTATGAACAAATTTCTAAAAAAAACCTCTAAACACAAAATGTAATTGAAAAAAAACGTATGGGGATTTCGTAAACAACAAGCGATAAGTACAAGACCACTAAAATGGGAAAAGTAATGCTGAATTAATGCTGATTAACTTTCCAATTCGAAGTTTCTTGCAGCTCTACAAGTAGAGAAGTTATGGCCAAAAAACCGAAAAATGTAATTTTCGAAAATACACTGGCGCTCATTATTTTCAAAAATATAAAAAATAATTTTTTTATTATACCTGAATCACAATCTCCGTTTTAAACACTCAAATGCGTGCGAAAAAAGGCCTTTAAAACACACGTGCTTTAAAGTTGCTAAGTAACGATACTTCAAGTATGACTTTTGAAACTGTCATCTTGCAAATGCAGAACATTTCTTTGGCTTTTGTACCTATCCTTTGGTTGAAGCTTTCACAAACGCGCGTAATTTACCGTTCCACTTTTTAATCGCAGCATTGCTTTAAAGTTTTGAATGAATGCACCAAAATATAGAAGATTTAAATACCTTTGACATTTCCTTCATATATGCCAGCATTATGGATGCATTTAAGACGTATTCGTAAGTAACTTCCTATTCATCCATGGAAAGAACTTTTCATATTCTTTATAATAGGCTTTACTGGAGTTGGATTTTACACCTACCAACGTTTGTTTAGATTTTACAACAATCGATTTAATGGACGGTGTATTATCTTTTTCAACGGAAATCGTTTTATTCACAAAAACGACGATTTTTATAAGCAAACGTCAAGTGACATTTCCATGGCAATCGTGAAATTACGAACACCCAGCCCACTTAATTAGACATGTATTCGAGTATAACGTCAATATGACTTCATTGTATTTCCTATTTTTAAATTATACTGCAGGTATAATAAAAAATACTATAAGATATACGTGTATAATTGATCTTTAAAGCACTTGCAACGTTAAAGGCACTCCGCTTTGCGTCGTGCCCTTAAACTCGTTGCGCGTGCTTTAAAGACTTGATTATACACTTGTATCTTAATATACTATTTAACAAACAAATTTTTTCTCAGTTTTCTGATGGTACTAAAATAAAATTTTTACGACTTGTGGGTTTCGAGTAAATCAAATCAACTGTCTTATTTTTTATGGACGTCGTATGCGAATTTTATGTCACTTATAAAACTAGTGATACTAAACACTTAGTATTTCATTTGGGAATCTACCTTGAACTCCTTTAAATTTACTATTGATTCCTTATGGCAATAATTCCATGCCTGAGAAACTAAATTCATTCGTTTATAGCCTCGCATACTCACTATCAACACGGACATGGAATTATTGCCATAATTAACTTTTAACGACTTTTAAAACTTTCTTTTCAATAATTTTATTATCTATTACTGTCAAATTTCTAAATAAAGCCATAGTTTCCAAGAGCCTTTTACGAATGTTAGTAGCCTTTCGAGGACTTTAAAGCCTTCATCAGCTTTTAGTGCATTTGGAAACATTCGAATTTGTAGATAGTTTAAGGTTTCAGTTTCTTTTCAGAGCTGAAGTCTTGAAAATAAGTTGCTAGGCCTTCGCGCGCCGACGTGTTTTTTTTTAAATTGAACTTGGGGTAATTGCATGGTATTTTCACTCTTAAAAAAAACTTGCTGTATAATCTTCAACATAACTGAAAATGATGATGTGCCATGTCTCAAGGAGACCACAGAGCGCTGTGGACGTTTTTCTGAGCTCAATTTACCTTTCCATTATCTGTCTTCATGCATAAGACATGAAAAAAATATTGGGAAGTATGAAGATGTACTGGAGATGAAAGGTATAGAGCAGGCATGGGCAACCTATTTTTCCAAGGGGCCAAAACAACAATTTAAACACCAGATTGGTGGAAATTAGCCTGTGCTGGACACAATTGTGACAGCATCATTGTAAACATAGCTAAATCTACTAGTTCGGTTAAACCAATCAGCTTAACAACAAATTGGAAAAAACATGGCCGACATGGAGCATTATGACCGCAGTCTTTGTAGTCACTGTAGTATTTACGAAAGCGCTACCATCTCGAAGTTCTTTTATTTCAATCCGCAATGATCGATTGTGGCTGTGAAGCAAATTTCAAGCTTCTATTTCAACTGCTAGTTTAAAAAGTAAAAGTAAAGTAAAAAAAGTTGCTTAAAATGATCTAAAATGTCAACATTTTATGAAATTTTAACATGTCCAAAAAATGGTGATCGCAATAGTCACCTAGCTCAAGCTAGGAAGCTAAAAATTCACTGGACATTCAATCTCTGATAAGAGTGCTTAATATTCGCTAACGTAATGTAAATTTTTAGAGCCGCAGACACAGATTTTTGTCTTTTTAATGTGACTTTTAAATGTAATTTGATGTATATAGGATTTCAATTTATTTTGTCCACTATTGCTATCTTAAGAACTATAAGAGCTATATTGGCAACGTATTTCAATTCAGAAGACTAATTTAATGAGCACGAAAAAAAATTGTGTCAACCAGTGGTTCACAAGCTATGGATACCAACTTTGTTATTTTAAATAGAACTATATTTTTTTTAAATATTTGTTGATATAATATTTCTATACCCTTAGATAACAATTTTTATGACGAAAAATGCATGGAAACAACATAAATAGTTATCTCAGTCACAGCACTCTTAAAACTGAATCCATATTCAACTTGTTTTGTCCATGGCACACTATGTAGGTATAAATCTAAACATGCATTTTTCTCATAAAAATTGTTAACTAAGGTTTACAAATATTATATCACCAAATTCAGAATAACATTCTCTATCAAATAAGGAAATAAAAAATATAGTTCCAATAACAAAGCTGATATACACAGTTTGTGAGCCACTGGTTGAATAGACATTGTTTGCAAATTTAACCAAACCTGTTGCTCTTATAGTTCTTGAGATAACAATAGCGGACAAAAAACACCCTATATAAATAAGTAAAGAGTAACTAGGTCACAAAAGAGATCGTCTAAATTAGGGTACACACAATTGCATTGTTTAATCAGATAGTACCACAATATGACAGGATGTGGCAGCACTGATCAGTCACTTAAATAGAACTATCAATGAATAAACAATGTATGTATAAATCTTGTCTAGATTGCTCTAGTAGTGCGCAATAATTTACAAAGCCAAAAATATGCAAAAGTTGTGCATTTATACTTGGTAGCTAGCTTTCCGTCTGCTAAACTATGAACATTAACAACTGTTAAAGATCAATAGCAGCATCAAGCTATATACCATCAGAAAAAAAATAAATATTTAGAAACATAATACATATAAATTTATTGTAAATTGTAATATTATGAAAGATTATCTATACTAGTATAACATGAATTATGATTAATAATGGCACTGGAAAAAATGTGTGTTAAATTTATGTAATAAAATATGTCACAGCAGCACCAACTGCTATAAATGCAAGACGATCAATTTCTCCACATTCCCCATTGTGCCCAAGATTTGTAGCAGCACGTCTCTTTTCAATCTGCCAGTATGCGAGTATATTTCGTATTTATAAATGTTTGAAAAGATACTTATTAACGTTGAATAGAAAAAATAAGAAAGTAACACATATGCCATATAGGTAACAGGATATCTTTTCAACACTTACAATGTAGGGATAGAGTGGTCCATTAACTCCTTGATGATAGAAGTATTCATTCTGAAAGTGAAGGTTATTAATATCACCGCAAATGCACATAAATCCTTACTTCTTGATCATATGGTCGTAGAGGAAAGATGGAATGACAGTTACGGTAACTATATTTCCAGCATTATCTATATACTTCGTAATTTCCTTATCCTTCAAACCAACAACATTCTGCCCCTCGACTTCGAGCAGCTGATGATCGGTTAAAAGTCCATTTCGTGCTGCCGACGAATCCTTGACAATACTGAAGATCTTGCCGTTTTTGAACATAAAACCAATGTGGCCCGTGCTATCCTTGTGAAGTGTCAGCGTTCTTTCGAACGGGCGATCCCGAACGACGACGGAAATACCGTTAATTGGACTTTTACGAAACATGTCGTGCACCTTATCCATTGAAAACCCCGCGACGGTCACGCCGTTAATTTGCAAGATCTGATCGCCGAATCGTAAACCGGCGATCGCTGCCGGCGACTTCTCTATGACTAGGCACACAAATACTCCGTTGCTTATCGGTTTCACGCGAACGCCGACCTTCCCATCTTTATCCTTGCACAAGATGAGCTAAAAAAATTATGTAAATGTAATTGCTTGTTTTGTATATTGATAATACATTTTGCTGGTTACACCAAAGCACTGTAGAACAATTTCTTTCTGTTGTCAACAGTAAATGAGTAAATGAGAAAAACGCTAATAGTTACATATTTGAAACAAGAATATCAGTTTGTCTTTGCCTTTACACCAATTAGTTAAAAACGTTAATGTCAAGTTCATATTTTATAAACAATTTGTTCTTTAAAATACAGAAATCTAAAAAAACTCAAAAATAAACACACTTGCACTAGAATCCCCTTGCCTGATATGTACTCAATTCCAAAGGTTTCTATCCTTTTGGTGGTATAAAATATTCGCCACACAAGAAAAATTCGTCAAATAATTAATTTTTAAACATTCAATTGACAAAGATACAAATTTACGGCAATTAGTTTCTGTGCTTACAGGGCCACAGAACGACAAAAAAATGTTTCGAATAAAATCGTCATACATTTTTTTCAAATAGAATCAAGATATTAAATAAAAAATGTGGATTCCCATTTGAAACTTGGAAACTTGAAAGTTGGAAACTGTGGCTTTCAACAGGACGGTGCACCCGCACACAACGACATGTTTTTCATTTTCCAAGAAATTTATTCGATAAATATTCTCAAACGATAGGGCGATGTGCGTGGGTGCACCATCCTGTTGAAACCAACTGTTCTTTTTTTATGTGCCATATAATAATAATTTATATTTGTAATAAAAAATGCTACTCAATTCAGTATGTAGTTTTTTTACGGGCCACATAAAAAAATAAATATAAAACATCTTTCTTTGATATTTGGAACCCCATTTCGAGCGGATCATAGACTCCCACTAAAAATAAAGTTGATGATTTCCCTGAAACGAAGTGTATTAAAAATCTCTCAACAACTGGGAGCTGAAAAAGTGGCAATGAGAAAGCGTTTTTTATTTTTTTGTATCTGTTCAAATACAAAAAATAAAAACAAAATGGGTAAATTTCGGTTTTTTTGGCATATCTTTAGAAGTAAGTGAAATTTACCGGTTTTCTTTAAAGCACTCTTCAATTGCGCATCTTTTCTATAATTTGACCATTGTCATATCTTGTATGGTTTCAGAGATCCCCTTACCATGAACACAGTATATATCAGAAATTTGAGGCAACCAATAAAATTGAATTGAAAAAATATCGCCCTATTTCAGTGTTACCTATTTTTTCTAAAGTTTTTGAATATGCAATTCTTCAACCACAACAATTATTTCGCTGAAGAACAGTTCGACTTCCCGCCAAAGAGAAGCACTACTGAACCATTAAAAGCATTCATTTCCATGTTTATGATCCCGTAGATACCAAGAAAAGCTGCTGCTCTACACTAATTGCCTTAAGTAAAGAGTTAACTACTATGAACCACGATATATTTCTTGTGAAATTGGAACACTATGGTTCCTGTGGCTCACCTTTAAGTTTAAAACCCAAACAGAACACAACAAGTCTACATCAACAATACCCTCAGCGAAACATTAACTGTAAGTCGTGGAGTGCCCCAAGGATCACTTCTGGGACCAATCCTGTTTATAATATATATGCAAAGCCCATTACGTCGTTAAGCTTAGGTTTGCCTAGGAAATTCTAGCATTACCGAACCTCTCCAGGCAAAGTTTGGGTTATCTCGTATTACGGGTATTGCCTCATGCGGAATCCGGCAATCATAAGTTTGCCAGATGTGAGTTAAGCAATGTTCGAAACCATTTTATATAGATAATTAAAATTATAAATACAGGGTGTCTTTTATTAATCAAATCACAGATGTAGTCTAGTAAAGGCACACATAACGTGTATAGGAAAAATCAGATGCAATGCCAACTTTCCTATTTATGGTGATAAATTTTAACCAAAGAGGTTTTTAGTAAAAGCACACATATCGCATATTGTAAACACCAGGTGTGCGCATGCGCAGGTCTTACGTACATTATTTAAAAATTTTAACCAGAAATGCTTCTAGTAAAGAAACATAACATAGCACACATAGCTATGGCCTTTGGAAAGTACTGATCAATGCACGGAAAAAGCGGTAAAGTTACTCTCCTTAAGGCAAAAACCTTTTTTGCACATAAAAAGGCGAGCGAGATGAATAGCGGGGATGCGTCATCTTCTGCCTTCTTACGTACCGGACCAGTAGTGTAGCTCTGTGATTATAAACAAATAACTAAATTCAAAATATTTGCGTGAAGGGTTTCCTTGCACACTTTTATTTAGCAATCGATCAGATGAGGAAATTTTGGTTTTATTTTTCTCATGTATAAAAGAGGAGACAAACAAAGCCACGAGTATTTATGTCGGACATTGAAAAAACGTTCTATAATGCATGTATACATGTCATGTCATCAAACCTGCAGATTTTACCTTCTTAAGATGTATATTACTGTTTAAATAAACATTCATTTCTTTGTGTGACTTTCTGGACTATAATACAGGGTGCCCATTATGTAGGGAATACAGTAAATATCTCGATAAATATTGAATGTATACAAAATGTTTGTATATGAAGATCGTTTAACATTTTATTTCGTGTAATAACGCAGCAGTCAGTTGTTTTTTTTTCAGAATACTAATGAGTAACGAAAAACAATTGAATTTTTTTAAATGGCAGTAAAAAATTGACTGTCAGTTGCCTACATTTTTTTGGTCAAACTCTCTTGCCTTTAATTTGTTTTTAAATCTATATGAATACCCACATGCACCTATCTATTATTAGGGATCCTTTAAACCGCTAGGCTACAGTCTATTTGTCCCTTACGGATAATAAATCTGCCAGTGAAAACAGTTGCAAGTATATAAAATATTTATAGAAAATAATAATGGGATTACCTCTCGAATTCCGTGAGAGACTTGTGCTCTTTGTAATCCTAGCGACTGTCCGGACAATGGGGCGACGACATTCGAATTACTCTGAGGAATAGCGACCTCTCTCTGATACATTATCACCTGTCCATATTCGGGCATGTTGGCGGCGATCACAGCTTCAGATAACTCGAGGCCCATATACTCGTTGAGAGACGGATACATTGCATCGCCCGTCGCAACGGCAGGCTGAACCGTAGGCGCACCGTAAACTGGTGGTGCTGTCGCCGTTTGCGAGAAAACCTGGTCCTGGGCTCTTGCGATTTGATCGAATTTCATATCTTCCAAGCTTGGATAGATCGACATATTGACGTTGGTTTTTTTCTAACTGGCTATGTCTGACAATGAAATTTGGTTAATTAACAGAAATCCTATAGAAATACTTACAAAATAGGCCTCCTTTGTAGATTGGAATTGCCAAAGAGGTGACACCCACGAATTGCGTGCGTGGATTTTCTGTTTATCTTTTATGCAGACTTCTGGTTAAGTGGTAAATTAGTCACGGCAAATGAAATCACTCAGTACTGCGATAAGAGATATACGATTTAAAAAAATGCAACTTTGACCCCTACCCTACCCCACCCCTTGGGAAAAACAAACTGTGACGTCAACGTAAAAATAATTACTCACCAGTGTCGTAACTAACGTTCGGTCATTTACACGTTTTCCCTATAAATAATCAAGGTCAATGGCACAATGAAAGAAACTTGGGAGAGTGTGAACCATGTTGCCTACTCCTAAAGCGTTTTACAGAATAAAAACATCTTTATACATAGCAACTTGTAAATCCACACTTAAAACATTTACAGGAAAAGAATCCCAACGTAGACAAATTGCCTATGATCCCATTCTCATTTCTTTATTGAAACCCTTATCTCTATATGGAGATCCAAGTCAGCTAGGCAATTGGAAAATCCTGAAGTTGTTATTCATTATACATTTTACCCCATTCCGAGGTGGAACATACAAATCTTCAAAGTGTAGTCCCTGATAGGAGTGACAGACTAAGACAGAACATTCATATTGATCACATTTAGTTAGATAAAATAAACCAATCAGGTTATCTGAGCATCATGAACCTGTGAAATGAAAATGGAAAACACTAAAAATGATCCATGGGATACACATAAAACAATGGATAAACCATCATTAAATATGCAGTGTTAGTGTGATGACATTGAATTTATAACTATAGTTATAAATTACCTATAGTTATAAATTCAATGGTAACGAATCGAATCATATAAGGTCAGGAGGAACTAAACAGAGTAGGTATGTCCCTACATCCCTCACTGAGGCCCTTCTAAACGTAGCTTCCTGCCAGGACCGTCCAGAAAAGGGGCAAAAGTAGCAATATGCCTGGGTCACAACACCTGAAGGGCTCCGTATGGCATGGTTGTACTTCCGATTGAGATTTTATTGAAATTTTCTGATTTTTTCTTCGCTCACTTTTTACTTACTTACATTTGTACAAATAAGGATATTGTAGTAGACTTATGAATATTTTACATCTGCGAGGCACCAGGCACTTGAGCTGCCCCAGGCCCCACTGTAGCTTTTGCAGGTCCTGCCTTAAAATGTATGCCAACAATTATTACGACAGTATGGTTGCCACGGACTTTATAGCTATGCTTAAGCTAAGCTCACCTTCTATTTGTTGGTGCAAATGTCCACTAGTGATTAGTGAGAGCGTAAGAAAGGTAAAGTGAACTCTTTTTGAGTTTCCTACAGCTCTCCTAGTCACGTTAAATTTAGCTTGTAAATCTGCAATTGTTTCCCTAATCAATCATACTCATGCTAAACATCCAGGAAGCACTGATTTTTAGCGCCTTTTTTAAGAATTAAAAAATGTGCTATTGTTTGCGTTTTGTCCGTCGGTCCGTCGTAGAGGCCTGGAATGTTTTGCAATAGGTAGCTTAATACCTTGAAGGTGTGGCAGACGGCCTTCAAATTTTGTTTTCTTAAGGCCACTGCTTTAGTGGTGCCAAGTAAAACTTTTGAAATGGGTGAGGGCAGGGGGTGAACCTACACCTTGGTATTCTAATGAATGATATTATAATTAAAGGTGTCAACAAAAGAAACAGTTTCCTACCAACTACCACCCTTCTTCCACCCCCTTTCCACTCTGTAATTGGGCGCAAGCGTGTTGAGGGCTCGGAACAGGGATAATAAATACATCAAATATGGAGTTAGGGTAGGGGGACTGGTTTTATCCTTCATGGTAGGTAGAGATCATTCCAAAACTAAAAGAGGATGGGAACAGAAACCAGCTTTGAAACGAATGCAAATATATTATATAATTTCAAAATATTGGCATTTGTTATTTTGGAAAATTCGAAACCGTTCTCGAGTTATCATGTACACATACGGACGGACGGGCAGAAAGTACAAAATCATGAACTCGCTTAACACAGCACATTAATAAACTGAACCAAGGGACAAGTTCACTTCAAGTTGACAAGTATTGACCAAACTTTAACCAGTTAGTCTCTCTATATACAAATGATATTAGTGAAAACAGAATTGGAAAATCCCTAAGGAGAGTTGAGGCAGGGATCTTTGAACATATGTAGGTAGGTATGCTATGTAACATGAATATGAATTAATTTATAAGTTTTTGGTAATTTAAAATAATATTGAAGAGGTGAACCTGGGATTCTAAGAAAACTCTTAGTAGTCTAAGAGATGAGAAGCCGCTGAAGATTATTTAAAAAGGCGCCTAATTTTATGCAATCAAACTAATACTTCTTAAAACAAATAAAGGTCTAGCTGTCATATTAATTAATTTAAATATTGTTGCTATCAATATCAACTTTCTCTTCGGTTAAATACATCGCACACGAACGAAAATAAAAATACACAAACCAAAGTAACAAGATTCAAATTAATTAATATGAAAGCCAGATCTTTCTTTTAAACAGTTATTTTGGTTGCATAAAATTGGGCGCTCTTCACAACGATTTTGTCATTTAAAAGTAGACATAGGGAACAACAATATGTAAATCCATATATCTACTTCTTAATAATTATCACTGTATAAGAGCTATGGCACACTTTTATATTACTTCTTTTGACTATTGTAATACCGTTAATATTTAATATGTCAAGAGTGAGAAACTTGCTGCCCAATTTTTTGCCACCCTAGGCTGTTCACTCTATGCGTAAATCACACCCTGCTTTCAAGTTGTACCCAACTCAAAATTGAAATATTAATTCTTGAGTTTGAGCCATTAAGACTAAGTTATCACTCAAAAATAAGACCGCAACTTCAAACTACGTAAACCAAAGTTAAAATGCATGCAAGCAACCCCCATATCAAAGAGTACTGGTTAATCTTTGCCCATATCCGGACTACCACGTTGTCTTTTAAACAGATGCAATATTAATCAAAACATTCACAATTATATTGTTAAAAAGATCAATAAAAATATATATAAACAACAACAAGGTGATAGCGACAATCAATTTCCGCTTTTCAATTTTGAAGAGAAAGAATTTGGATCGCTGACTAGATCCACCCAAAATTCGTAATACTCTTCGGGCGATATATTTGTGTAATTTCGACCGTGTTCCCGCAGCAAGGTCTTCCACACCTAAAAAACGCAGTTCATTGTGATTGTGATTTTTTTACTGAGCTTACCTCGTATTCAGGGACAGGGGTCGTTGCCATTCGATTTCCGTATGATCCCGACGCAAAGATCTGCAATTGATTCAGTAAATAGCTGTAAGTGTACATACTGCTCGTCCCTTGCACCTGCAAGTAAAGTTGTCAACATGGGAGACTAAGACGCGAACATACTTGAAAGGTAACAGATCTCGTACTGCAACACAATGTCGGATAGGTGCTATGCTTGAAGTAATTCGAAAGCTCAATACTTCCAGGTGAAAAAAGTTTCTGCAAGTTAAATCCGTGAAATACAGCCAAACCGCGTTTGTCCCTCGTATCCGACGTAGTTATGTTCAGCGTACTAAGAGCCCTTCCTAAATGAGACAAATCAAACACCTCAATTCAACCAAAACGCAATATTCACCCAAATAATAATCTTCTAAATTCCAGAAGACCGAATCACTGGAACACGAATCTTCCTTCACCTTCCTCTTTAAAGCTGACAGCGTGCCATTACTAATGAGATAGCCTGCCTGACCCGAATTGTACCTTATACCCCAAAACACCATCGAGTGTCCCAAATAGTATTGTGCAGATGAATTTAATGGTGCTACCAAATAGCGTAAATTCTCAAGTAAAGCGAACGTATTCTCATTCAATACTAAAACCCAATGAAATGTGTCCGGTAAATTGCTCAAATTCTTGCATAATAAATACCACGCAGAGTTCGTAATATTCTTTTTGGACGGCAGCTTATTTTTTGTTGGCTTTAAGTTTATAAATTCTAAATGATTGCATTGTGTTCCCCAAGTCATTTGCGCTGCCTTAACATACTTGATTCTACGTACCAAAACGAGACAAGCAATTTCAATTTTGTTGTATAAATACGTCGACTCCGTCAGGAACGTTTGTCCACTGTATCTTAGTGTGTCGAACGTTTTTCGATACCTCCTCAGGTTTTGTTTTACAAACCACGGTTCGTACAGATCGTGAAGTGAGGCATGGTGAGTTGGGAGCTTATTTTTTGGTTGTATCACAGATAAGAAGAGGGCAATTAAAAAACCAATTACGAAACCGACAATAAATAATAATGCCACTTTTAGCCGTATGTGGAACATTTTCGGACGGTTACATGTTTTTCAAGTTCCCAACAATTTCGATTCAATTTTCATTGTTGGAAATTATATTTAAATTCACATTATTTAAAAAAAATTGTTATTACTAAAAAAACTAGCATAACCTCAATTCTCTGTTATATACAGGGGGAAGCAAATTTTTCATGAGTAGTTCATATAACTCAGTTCGTGATCATTCCCGCAGATTTTCAATTAAAATCAAAAAATTGAAAATTGTAAGAAGAAAAGTCACGAAAAAATACAGTAGCGTCAAAAATCAATTTTTCGTTTCACCACCACCAAAAAAAAGCGAGATTATCTCACGTACACTTACGTATATATATATCCTGTCACAATTGCATTCGTTCTCACTTCGTAACCATTACGACAAATGAATGTTAAATCTGCAATTAAAAGAAAATAATTAAAATTGTAAGAAGGTACCGTAGTGAAACATGGATAAATACCTGGATTATTATACTACCCACGTGAATACACTGATATTTATTAAGAAATAGACATGGTGATTTACGTGTATTGTTTTCCTTATGTCTACTTCAAATAATTTCACAATATCAACTTTTTCTTCAGTTTTTTTTTATTATCCCTCTCTTGTTTTGGGCCCTCAACAGGCATGCGCCCAATTACAGAGTGACCCGCATAATGCTATTTAGAGGTGCCTCTGCAGAAGGTCTTAAGATGGTCTATACTACTCCGGTATTTACCTTACCAATTAGGAAAACTGCAGGAAAACCTAATTCGGAGTAGCCGGTAGAATGCTCGGAACTGGTCTAAGGTAATTTCCATCTCTGCCACAGATGAAAAATTCACCTCAACCCAGGTTCGAACACCCGACCTCCGGATTTATAACCCAATGCTCTTACCACTGAGCCATAAATCCGATGAACATATCGCGCACGAACAAAAAAGAAGATACGCAAGCCAAAGCAACAGTATTGAAATTAATTAATATGACAGTTTGATCTTTTTGTTTTAAGGAAGTTATTTAGTTGCATAAAATTAGGCGCCCTCAAAAGAGATTTTGTCTTTTAAAAGTAGACATATGGAAAAACAATACATGTAGGTAAATCTCTATGTCTACTTCTTTATAAATATCACTGCGGAAAAATTGTGGTTACCAATCTTCCAAAAGAACTTTGCAAAACACGAAGATCCGCTCGCACTTACGTAAAAAATGTTGAAAATTTTTATCCAAAGCAATCAAATTTACCTATCTTTATTTAGTAGTAGACTAACTAACACCTTGTCTGTAATGGATACAATGACATGCGTTAGATTTGGATAAAGAAATTAAAGTATAGAATCGCAATTTGTCTAGGGACAACAGGGTATTAACCACCCGGAACGTAAATATTGAAAAAACCCAAATCTATTTAAATAGGGGATGTAGTCACATTTTTCATCAGAATTTTCGCTAGCCATTCAACAGTAAACGCAGAGTAATGAGTAAGTGATTTATGTTTAGCAAGTTTACATGTATCCTAATTAATCAAAAATAAAAATTCACCTGCATCTCTAGTTCAGTCTCTCCCTAGAAAGGGCCATTACCATTTCCCCCATTTACCATTGGAACGACGCAAGTTACACCGCACCGTTCAAACTTTCACCACCGAATACGCGAAAAATTGTTAGGTAAAGCGATAATCGGTAGAGGGGTCAGCGTCGGCGCGACCTCGATAACTTGAATCACCACACACCTACTTTAATTGAAACGTAAAACCATTAGGTACTATTTAAATCTCAAAAATTCTCAATTTAAATTACTACTGGTAGGATGTGACAAAAGAAAAGTCCCAACGAGCGTCTCTGTTAGAGAAATCAAAATGTCTCTAAAGTTACCGTTTTTCGGACATGTTAAAATTTCATCAAATGTCGTTTTAAGCAACCATTAAAGAATAATTTTTTTTCCATCTGTTACATACAATTTTCCGAGATAACGGCTCGAAGGATTTTGTTCAAATTTTGAATATGTATATTAGGCATACTGAAAGGAAAAATAACGAGCCGGATTTTTGAAAAAAATTTTTGCCGCAACGGCATCGAACTTTTTTTCCAAATAGCAACCTAAAATTTTTATTAAACTATTCAAAATGCCCTTTTTTTGTATGCAATCTACAAGAATTATTATTGCGCTAATAGAGTTGATTGTTGCAGCTTTTGAGAGTAAGTAGGCGGTTTCTGGCGGTGCTTTACGACCTAACTAAGGCATTTGATTGTGTAGTTCCAACAATATACTTGAAGCCAAATTAGTTATTAGAATATTACTGTATTCCTCATTTAATAGTCAAAAATCGGACATAGAACCAATTTTGTTTGGTGTACCACAAGGATCAGTCCTTGGTTCACTTTTGTTCCTGGTTTACGTTAATGACCTACCAAACACGGTTATCTTGATTTCGTTTAAATTTTAGCAGTGTACATTAGGCATAAAGGATGTAAAATTGTCAAAAACTTTTTTTTTTCAATACATGAATTTTTGTTTTTACATGTACATTTGAAAATTATGTGATTTATTGTAAAACTGATATGATTGTATTTGTATAATTTGTATTTTTTATTTGCTGGTATTATTTTGTTTATCCCAAGTGTAAGTGAAGCAACACATGACCACAATAAATTATTAATAAAATGGTACTTATTCAATTTTTGACACTTCATACCTCAAGACACGAGAAAGATAGCGAGGCTTAAGACTCGAGCTTAAGACATGCTTATGGGCGCCCAAAGTCAACTACCCCTCGAAGACGTGTGCCTTGCAAAAGGTGGTTAATTTCGCCCCTAGGAAAAAAACAAAATTCGGTCACGCAGAAGTTGTGCGCGTTTACAAGATCTTTTCAACTGCAGAAGATAGGAAAAATATATTGCATGCATAACAGAAATCTTCGATCATCTACCTCCCTCAGCATTCCTTTTTGATAAAACTACATTCTTCAAAAGGTCATTTTCCTACAATATCGCAAATTATTACAATAAAAAAGTATCCATCTCGTTTCAAAGTTTGTCCATTTCGAGTTTGAAATATAAGTTTAAAACCATGCGTCGCTAAGTTAATAAACATACCCTTATCAATCACATTTGTCATTAATTGCTCCATCTTTCATTTTGTTTTCCTTATAGTAATTTTACTAGAGAACACTCAATTCTAATTTTTACTAAATGTTTAATAATAATAGGCATCGATATTGGGTCTGGTGGAAGACCAGTGAGCCTACACAGTAAACTGAAACAGATCTGTTTTCCATAAATACATTATGTAATTTATCTATATGTCTTATGGAAATAAAAGTATTATTATTAAAATAAAGTTATAACGTTAGTAAATAACCCATGCTCGGAGATGGCACCCAGATGCCGCCAACCCCACATCAAGTAGCACCGTCCTTTAAAATGTTAATTATACGGCCCCGATAGGTATACGTACGTACAATCCGCGCCCTTCTACGGGCCCACATTTACTGCCAGCCAGCCAGCCGGCCAAAATGAAATAAGCTATACCTTTGTTAAAAATTATCGACTATCATGAACTAATAGAATTATTACTTTAATGAAGGGTAAACTTTCTCTACACTTACCATTTTTTGAAGACGCTCTTCTAAATCCGCGATTTTTGATGTGAGCATGGAAACTGTTCTGTCAAAAAATTGGTACATTTTTTTGTGCTATTTAGTGTTAAAATATTTGCATTTCCTGGCGACAGTATAGGTATATGTGCAGCGTTTCATTCCTTAGGACTACAAACCAGCTCTAAAATTGTACGTGGTACAATAAAAGATAACCTTGAACTTGGCACATGCGCAAATCTCAAAGACAAAGTGCTGAATCCAGCCTTCATTATCTACTTATGGGACTTGAATCCAAAGGCGAATGTTAAGCTGATGACAAAATTTTTAAATAAACAGAGCTACTTCTGGAAAAACAATTGGCCACTTCAATTTGTTTAAGGGGACCTCTCTGAAACTAAAACTCATCATCTCTTCGCCCTGTAGTTGACCTGAGTGATCGAGCAAAACTCTGAAATACATAAAAAATAAAGTTTATATTTCACAACATAAATAATAATAGTAAATGCCTAACTCTATCGAATATATAACATATATACAACGAAAATTTACTCTAATCAAATATGGAAGAAGCGGCTAATTCAACATTCCAATTTGTTCTTTGCAACGCAGCCTCGCACTGCTGTCGAGTTGCGATACCTAACCTGTAAGTACAATGTGATATCGCAACCTTTGACGTCGTTTATCTTACCGTAGTAGTTTATCAACCTTAATGGTTTTAACGGTTGCCGACACGTCCCAGCCACAGGTTTGTAAAATCGAGAGGCAATAATCGGTGTCGACATCAGGCACTTCGTCTCTAACCCGACTTATTTTATTGCTTCTAAATTCTGGCGTCATGAGACGTTCTGCATCTGCGCTTAACTGAAGAGACGATTAGAGTTTCGTTAAAGAAATCGTTCGCATTCACCTGTCCTTGCTGTATCTTCCGCTGGATTTGCTGCATGCTAAGCGGTTGTCCTAAAACGACCAACGGGGACGGCGGCGCTGGACGGTGAGGCTTTAGCGATTCGTCTGGCACCGAACTGTACACATTGTCGGGTATCTCGCTGTAGACGTTCTCGGCCACTTCGTTATACAAGCGCTGACTCGCCGGTACATTGTTATAAATTGAGCTAACGTTATTACTGACGCTTTGAGATCTATAAGGTTCGTATTGAGCATTGTACATTGTATTTCCGTAAAGCGACGCCGTTCCATTTTGGGAAGCGTGCGGGTTAATCGGATCCGACTGTACAATCGGGCGATTGCTTTTAAATTCTCCAAACTCGGACGTTTTGGCGTATTGCAAATTTGTAAGTTTCAGGGGGTCGGTTATGTTGCAGCTCTTGGTCGATCCGTATAAATTCGCGTTGGAGGTTTTGTTCGTTACGTTCGTATTTTTCGAAAAACTGCTGGGAGACGAACAAGCGGGATCAAGCCTTAAATTGTTGGTCTGTCCGTAGTTCGAGTGCTTTTTGGAAGATTGAGGAGGTGGTTGCAATGGCGTTATATTCGAATTTTTTCCTAAACTTAAACTTTTTTCTAATTCTTTAATGAGAGTGTCGTCGACTATACACGTTTTGGGGTTAATTGCGATTTTACTAGGGGTGAGATTCTGTATATTACAGGGAGGTGTTGCCGTCACATTACTTTTAGCAACTTCACTGTAACTGGGGAAAGCGGTTTGACTACCGTTTGTCGATGGTTGTAACGTGAAATATCGACTAGCAGTCGCAGTGGTATCTATCTGTGAAGTATCGAAGGGATCATCTCGAGATATGAGGTTCTCATCAAAGCCTGCAGTGTTCAGGTACGTTGGCGTTGGTGCAAAAGTGGCCGGTCCGCTACACACTGACAAAGTATCGTCAGGCCAACAATCTACTCAACAAGTATTAAACGCAAAAAATCTTATAATTAACTTACCTTCTTGCGGTATATCTATTGGTTCATCGAGAAGAGAAATACTTTTAGGGCTAACTTGCATTGAATTAGGCAACCGCAAGTTGCCTCCAAGTTCGTCAGGTGAAATATCTATAAGCAATTCGTCTTTACTCGAAATATTATTTAATTTGGGCTGTGGTGGTCGCCGCGGTTTTGATTTGGAGGTCTTGGTAGTCATTTCTAACTTGCGATAGTTGAACTGCTTTTCACTGCTACGAAACGAAGCGGAATACGCTGTATGTGGTGAACGTCATAAATTGGTCGCATTTAAAGATATACTCACATTTTTTTACTTTGTCATGATGAGAGGCTCTCTGAAGAGTAATTCGATCGTGATTCATTCCGATCGCGTCTGGAGGTGTCATGGGATTCTTTAAGTACATATCGTCGATGTACTGGGGACTACCCCAGGACTCGCCGAATGCCGAACCATGGCCAGTATGGATAAATGAATTTTTTAGGGGTTTGCTTATGTCCTCGGAACATATGGGACGTTGCGCGTCTACTAAACACCTAAAAATTCGATAAATGAGAATCACAACTACTTATATTCAGGATATCCAACGAGCCGAGTGAGAAGCTAACAGGAATATGTTTCAGTTCAAATATTTTTTACTTGTTATGGGAATTCAAATTCATGGCTCCCCATTGGGCTCTCCGTAACGGTGAGAGACACAGTATAGGTTAAATGGCGGCAAAGTTGACCCTTTTGGTAACTAAAAAAACGCTTTTGAAATTTAAAAAAAAAGGCTTTAAAAATGATTAAATTGGTGTTTCGACGACTACAATTACTCAGGTGACGTATTCTTTTATCGTTCGTTTATCACATCCATTCAGTAATTACATGATTCTGTTATATTATTTGCCAAATTACAGGCATTCTACTAATGCAAATTGCTCTTTTAGAATTATTTGTTTATTTATTATCCCTCTCTTGTTCTGGGCCCTCAACAGGTTCGCGCACAATTACAGAGTGACCCGCATAATGCTTTTTAGAGGTGCCTCTGCAGAAGGTCTTAAGTCGTTCTATGCGTTTCCATACAAGGCTGACATGTCATGACGAGAGTAACTAAAGACTACTTGGTGTGGGATATTTGAACTAGCCACCCAATATCCAAACCTATGTGAATTTATTATAATGCTTAATGATTGGTTTTTTTACGTTACGTTACGTATGTCTCAAATATTAATTCTTTAGGAATTCCAGTGTGTTAATTTACTTGACAACCATCATAATATGTATTCATGTGATTACAGACAACTCATTTTGCTATAAAGCTTAATATTAATTTGTTGGCTGGTTTTTTTTCTTGGTCAGTTCTTTTTTTCCCAGCCTATTTTTATATTTGTACCCGGCGAACTACCATTTTCTAAATTTAATTTTGCAATGCGATTTATTTTGATTAAATTTCCGTTTTTAAAGCGTGTACTTGTTTTATTTGTATTCCTTACTTGATCCTCACTCCGACAGGCAACGCATATCTTGTAGCGACTTTTAAAAACACAACATAGTAAGTGGTACTAGTATGTTGTTATTCATGTCTAATTATGTAAATTATGTTGTTATTCAGGCAGCTTTGTCTAGACGATTCTGTTAGTTTGGGAGAGAAAGTTTTCAATTTAAATCTTGAGTTGCGCAGTCTCTCGGGGTTCGTCACAAGATGGAGGACAAAAAATAAACATAATGATGTGTCACACTACACTTTTACATAAATTTAGAAGAAAAGTTTTATATTTATTTCTTAACAAAACATCCACAGGTAACTAGATCTTGCTGAATCAACATGTCTATGAGGGCGATGCATTCAAATTAATTTCTTTTTTTATTCTCTATGGCCCTTCAAAATGTATTTGTTGGGAAATTTGTTTGGGTACATTTCTTTTCAATTCCCTCATTAGAAAAAGAATGAGAAAGATTTGCTTCCCATAGTACAGTCCACTTAATTAATATCGTTTGTTACCAGCACATAACACCAATAGTGATAAGGTTCTAGAAGGTATACAGGTGTTTTTTTGGGAGCCTTAGGTAAACGTTTCTGGGAAAGTGAAATAGGTAGGTTTTTGAAAATGTGTACTTAGGAGTTACTCTGAAGGCCAAATCGATGTAAAATATTTTCAAAATGGCCGCACTTCCGGAAACACCGGAAGTAGATAGTCACTTCATTATTTTAAATGGCAACCCCTATTTTTTATTGCATTTTTGGATTCTACGTGAAATTTCAGTCCTTTTGATTCCCATATGTCGGTATCTGTTATTTATGGTTTTTAAAATATTTTGAGTTTATGTAAAAAAAATGGCGGATGCAGATGGTACCTTGATGATTGATTACTTGAAAATAGTCATAGCAACCCATTTTTATCAGTGCATAGAGAATGAATAGGGCTTTCTTTTAGGGTACTGAAAAAAAGTTAAGTTGCGTACAACCGCACCTATGGAGATCCAAATTTAAGAAACTTCAAAGACTAAAAACTCAGTTTTTTAAATGGAATGACCATGTTTTTACTATTGCATGAGATAGAAAATCGAAATTGACATATTTTGATATTACATGTTCCTATAGCTAAACTGTTAAAGATTAACAGTTTCTGATTTATTCCCATTTCATTGAATTGATCTCGGAATTGATGCTATTTTTTTTCGCATTTTCTTTTTCGTTTCGTTCCAGTGTTCGAATGAATGTACAGCAAGCACGTGCCGCGATTCTGTCCATTTCACCATAAATCACAATTCAATTCCAAAATAGGTAAATAGGAAACCACTGTGAGTCATTTTTCGATTTTTGAAAAACTTATGTTAACCTATAACAGTGGGTGATGGATTAGTGTCACTAGAATTGTTTAAAATTCGATTGTTATAAAATCATGGTCGACTACTAAATTCAATAAAATTAATATAAAATTCAATAAAATGGGAATAAGTCAGAAACTGTTAAAGATAAGATAACTATAGGAACATGTATTGTCAAAATACATATGCCTATTTCGATTCTTTATCTAAGAAAATGGTCATTCCATTAAAAAAAATGAGTTTATAGTTTTATAAATTTGGATCTCCACAGGGGCGGTCGTACACAACATTTTTAAGTACTATGCACTAATAAAAATAGGTTGCCATGACTACAACCGTTTTCAAGTAATCAATTATCAACGTACCATCTGCATCCGCCATTTTTTTTCTTAAAATCAAAATAACTCAAAAACAATAAATGGCAGATATCGACATATGGGTATCAAAAGAACTGAAATTTCACGTAGAATCCAAAAATTCAATAAAAAATAGGGGTTGCCATTTAAAATAACGAAGTTACTTCCGATGTTTTCGAAAGTGCGGCCATTTTGAAAATATTTTACATTGATTCGGCCTTCAGAGTAACTCCTAAGTACAAATTTTCAAAAATCTGCAAAACGTTTAACTCAAGCTCCCAAAAAAACACGCTGTACATCCAACGGATAAAGAGCGACTTGATTGATTTAGGCGTAAACGAAAATGCAAAGACTATGGGATCGTTTTGAAATGGTCAAAAGGTCTCTCAGATATTACAATTATTCGACCGGTTAGGTCTATTAAGTGCGACAACGGTTCTAGCAAAAATAATTTTACGTGACAAAGGATACATGGGGATAGATCCTTGTCATATATGTTACATTCAAGATGGGTAATTATTTCGCGATCAGCCGAGTTCTTTAAATAACCTTGAAATAGGTTATGCCAGGGGGTGTCCACAAAGAGGAGTTTCAAAATTGGGATCTTGAAAGTACCTCATATTCTATACACTACACAGACATATAGGGCACACCCACACGCTTGATGAGGTACATTTTTAATTCAGCCTCACAGCAGAGTTTTTCTTACCCACTCCCTTAAAACCGCCTACTTCCAACCAACAAAACTTACCTAGGAAATAATCCAATATCGAAAGTTCGCTGATTTTGACCTTTCCACCAATAAGCATCCGCCTGACCATCAATAATCGCAACGTTATCGCCGACATGTACCTCCAAACGGTCCTCCTCATCCTGTCGCCCGATCGCACGCATAACAGGGGGCATGGCTTTACGAAACGATTCTCGCATGGAGGCGAAGGTCGGCCTCTCCTGGGGATTCTTCAGCCAGCATTGCAACATTATACCGTATATTACGTTGGGACACGCCTCCGGTTGATGCAGACGTTCGTTCTCTCGATCGATTTTGCGTAAAATTTCCGACCCTCCCAGTCCGACCCACGGCTCCTCGCCGAACGTGAACATCTCCCAGACAGTCACGCCGAACATCCACGCGTCCGACGCGTGACTAAACTGGCGGTAGCGTAAAGACTCAGGTGCGCACCACGGGAATGGCACTTTCTTGTGTTCGGTCATCACGTAGCAATCCTCTTCTTGCGGCAACGCCCTCATCAAGCCGAAATCTCCGATCTTCACCTTGTCTCTTCCCGCCAGCAAAATGTTGCGGCATGCAAGGTCGCGATGCAAAAACCGTTTACTCTCCAAATAGGCCATGCCGGTTGCCACCTGTGCCGCATATTCACACAGTAGCGGTAGGGGTGTGTGTTGACATTCCTTTCGTAGACAATCTAAAAGTGAGCCCAGCGGTGCCAATTCAGTCACCATCATCATCGGTTGCGACAGAACTACTCCGAACAGCCTGATCAGATTGATATGACTCAGAGTGTGCATCGATTGGACTTCTTTTATGAAGTCGTGGAATACCCCGGGCTGAGACAAAGCGTCTGCCTTTAGGACTTTAACGGCAACCGGTACAATTTGCCCTGTCGGACTCGTCCACTCACCTGCAACCATTAAATTAATCTTCCTATAGGCAAGGGGAAAACCACTTCCAAGGTGTGTTGTACATCTTTCACAAATGAAAAACTATATGGACTGTATCCAATACGTACACTTACAAAGTATTAGAACGTACACAATTTCCCAAACTCATAAAATGTTCACCTACTGTAATGACCATTGCAGCATAGTAAACTCAATTATAAAACTGTAAATGTTCTATGAATAACAAAATTTATTCTTTTTGAAAATGAACAAAATGTGTGTGTATTACTTATTGCTGAGATTTTATTAGCAGATTTGGTCACACTTGGTAAAGCCGTCGCACTCGCGCGGGTACTTAAAGCGTACTGAGAATACATATAACACGAATATTTAATGAGTTCGCGCATGCGTAATCCCAATTTTTAATCATATGGTCAAACAAATTTTTTAATAACTGCTACATGTGCTTTTATTCTAATCCAACGATATTTAAAGCAATTTTGATTTTTCGGTTGAAGCAAGTATATTTAATTAGGGTAGTCACTTTTTTTTAAAAAACACATCTCGGCTCAATTGTTATCGTTTTATTTAAAAAAAGTTTCCACACCTTAATAAAAATTGTTATTAGGTTTGACGTTGATTTTTTATTTTACACTATGTTTCCAATTCACCAAAATTGTTATGCCAATTCTCTTTAATTAAAAAATCAATCGCGTAAAAACAAGAGACCCTTGGAAACATTTGGAAAACTTTCAGAAAATGGAATAGATAGCAAAGGCGCTACTCGTGAATATTTTCGAAATTAGTTATTTGTTGAGGTCCGAAATTCTCACTATGTCAGATCTGGGATAGTCCGCGAGTTCTGGGTGGGTATTAGTGAGAGCATCAAGTAAAGGTAAAACAGTATTGATGAAAGACAAAGGTGATAAAACCCTACAAGCGTCCAGTGTTGCAATCAAAAATAAAGACAACAAACGTTATGTGTTTGACTGAAATTTATGCACATGCAGCATGCCAGAGCTGTGCAAAGCCCTTTTGCAATGGGCTTCATTCCAAAGCCCTCAAGCCCGTGTAAGAGGAATGGTGAATGGAAAGCTCAAATTCCTCTTAGCACGAAAAGGGCTTAAAATTCCAAAGCCCTTTAAAAAAGCCCTTTGAAATTGAATTGAATTCCTTGTTAAAAATGAATTGAAATCCGTTAGGAAAAGGAATTGGGATTTGGAATTAAAAGAAATTGAAATCCTTGGCAAAGGAATGGAATTCCTTCGCAAAAGGAATTGAAATGCTTTATGAAAAGGTGCAGGATAAGGTAATATATTTTTAGAAGTTTTCCAACAAAATACAAGGCATAATGTCTAATAAAATATGAATTATTACTCTAACAAGTGTTTTTCGTTTTTATAAAATCGTTGAGTGAAGGGATAAAATATAATGAGAATACAGGACCCAGTAGCCGTAACGTAATAAATATAAATAGTTTGCACAAGTGCTGGTTTGGTTTGCTTGCTTGGTAGTGCATAATTGCATATAATTGTATTATAATTTAGTTAAGGCTCTAGATAGAGGTAGGTACTTACACTTTATCCCATTAGAGAACAACAACACCGCACGCACTAACAGTTCTACGTACTGCAAAGTGCAAGCTCACAAAAATTGGAAATAAAAAATGATGTGGGAGTGGGAAGCATATAAGGAATTGAAGCCTTTTTAAAGAGGATTTCAAGCCTATTAAAAAGGAATTGAAGCTCTTTAAAGGGAATTGTATCCTTAAAATGGAGTTTTCAATGAAAAAGTGATTTCAATTCTTTTAAAAGGAATTTAAGCTCTTTGTCTGAAATCCAAAGCCCCAAGCTCACGCGAAAAGGCTTTAGACGTAAATTCCAAAGCCCTGTTTTTAGAAAAGGCTTGAAGCCTTGGAATTGCAAGCTCTTTTAGAGCTTGAGGGTTTTCCAAGCCTTTTGTACCAATTCCTTTGCACAGCTCTGCTTATAACCATCCGAAGTTGAACAAAGCACATGTTAAACGTGGAAACACAAATGTGAAAAGACTAAATAAGGACTTCAACTGAGTAGTTCAATTTCAGAGAGCAGTGTTTTCTATGTGAAAAAGCCAAAACGAAAGGTTTCATAGAAACTCTAAAGAAAAAACCGACAAAAAAAAGAAATTCTGTGATCACTGTTGAACTCGAACATACTAAAAGTAGCTGACCGAAAAAGTGGCTAATGGGCTATGAAAATAAAAGAAAGACAGAAGAGACTGATGTAGTAGCATATGCCTTCTCTGATTTTCTAGTTTTTTTGGGGGGGATTGATTTGATACATAAATGATTAATTCTTTTTGTCCATCTAAAATCCTCCTTTTTTTGTTTTCTTAGGATATATTTCACAAAATAAATTTTTTCCCTTAAAAAATGTTTTTAATTTTTCATTTCAGGAAATTTTGCAGTGATTCTGGCAAAATTCATTGGAAATAATTTCCTTAAGATCAGCGTCTTTCCCAAAAAAAAATAACACAATAACTATTTATATAACTAGTTGCAAAATCAAATGAAACACAATAGAACACAAAAAAAACATGGTAATTTCAATTGTTTATACATGGTGTTTTTTTGGGAGCTTTAGTTAAACGTTTCTGGGAAAGTAAAATAGGTAGGTTTTTGAAAATTTGAACTTAGGAGTTACTCTGAAGGCCGAATCGATGTAAAATATTTTCAAAATGGCCGCACTTCCGGAAACACCGGAAGTAGATAGTAACTTCGTTATTTTAAATGGCAACCCCTATTTTTTATTGCATTTTTGGATTCTACGTGAAATTTCACTTCTTTTGATACCCATATGTCGATATCTACCATTTATGGTTTTTAAGTTATTTTGACTTTAAGAAAAAAAATGGTGGATGCAGATGGTACCTTGATAATTGATTACTTGAAAACGGTTGTAGTCATGGCAACCCATTTTTATCAGTGCATAGAGAATGAATAGGGCTTTCTTTTAGTGTACTTAAAAAAAGTTAAGTTGCGTACAACCGCACCTATGGAAATCCAAATTTAAGAAACTTCAAAGTCTAAAAACTCAGTTTTTTTAAATGGAATGACCATGTTCTTACTATTGCATGAGATAGAGAATCGAAATTGGCATATTTTGACTATACATGTTCCTATAGCTATCTTTAACAGTTTCTGACTTATTCCCATTTTATTGAATTGACACTATTTTTTTCGGATTTTCTTTTTAGTAGTCGGCCATGATTTTATAACAATCGAATTTTAAACAAATCTAGTGACACTAATCCGTCACCTACTGTTATAGGTGAACATAGGTTTTTCAAAAATCGAAAAGTGACTCGGAGTGGTTTCACCTATTTTGGAATTTAATTGTTATTTATGGTGAAATGGACAGAAACGCGACACTTGCTTGCCGTACATTCATTCGAACACTGTAACGAAATTGTATCAATTTTGGAAATGTTGTACCTCCAAATGCACTACAAACCGTTGAAGCACAATTGATACAAAGCTCTACAAGAGAATATTTAAGAGAATGAATTGAATTGCAAATGCAAGATTAACAAAATAAATTCAATGCAAAATATAAAAAATTTCGTTGAAACATTTTTGGTATGGAATTGTTGCTAGAACAGATATACCTCTCTTAATTTCCAGACTTATACGTTGTTTAAGAAATTCAGTTGAACGACTCTGTCTAGATTTTTCAAAAATTTTCCGTCCTATATCCTTAACAACAAACTTATTTATCAATGAATTATTTAGACTAGAATCAATGATATTAACGAATCCATTCCTTGATTTGTTTAAAATTCGATTGTTATAAAATCATGGCTACTACTAAAAAGAAAATGCGAAAAAAATCGCATCAATTCCTAGATCAATTCAATGAAATGGGAATAAATCAGAAACTGTTAAAGATAGCTATAGGAACATGTAATATCAAAATAAGCCAATTTCGATTCTCTATCTCATGCAATAATAAGAACAGGGTCATTCCATTTAAAAAAACTGAGTTTATAGACTTTAAAGTTTCTTAAATTTGGATCTCCATAAGTGTACGCAACTAACTTTTTTTTACTAAAAGAAAGCCCTATTCATTCTCTATGCACTGATAAAAATGGGTTGCCATGACTACAACCGTTTTCAAGTAATCAATTATCAAGGTACCATCTGCATCCGCCATTTTTTTTCTTAAAGTCAAAATAACTTAAAAACCATAAACGGCAGATATCGACATATGGGTATCAAAAGAATTGAAATTTCACGTAGAATCCAAAAATGCAATAAAAAATAGGGGTTGCCATTTAAAATAACGAAGTTACTATCTACTTCCGGTGTTTCCGGAAGTGCGGCCATTTTGAAAATATTTTACATCGATTCGGCCTTCAGAGTAACTCCTAAGTACAAATTTTCAAAAACCTACCTATTTTACTTTCCCAGAAACGTTTAACTAAAGCTCCCAAAAAAACACCCTGTATACCTACAAGACTTTTTATACTTCAGTTGACAGAAAAAACATTCTTTCATGACGTTTCTTAAAAAGCCCAAATGTCACGACATATTATGAAATATCATTGTGTAAATAAAAACTAGTGACAAAATGAATAACATTTTGTAACTAGAATGAATGTCAAAATTATGACACTTTGTAACTCAATTACAAAAAAATGTTTCTTACCTTTTATTTCCATAAAACGGTTCTGTACTTGACTGTTGATCTCGAATACACTTGCACCCCCAACTTGAAGGAACAAGTTGTCTGAATATCGTGAGACAAATGCGCATAGTTCGACACACACGCGTAACCTACCTCTTTTTATTACTTGACTATACTGCATTCATTATAAGAAGGTAGTAGATGGCGTTGTGTTTGAGGATAGTCACACACAGGAAAAATATAAAATAGCAAAAAATTTGAAAAATATAAATCACACGATATCACGCTTGGATCTTTGAAATTGACAGCTAATGACAGTTCCACAGTTTAGTTCGTAACTGAAACTTCTAACAGACAGAATTCGTCACTCGTTTTATTTTTCAGGGTAATACTCACTCGTGTTTTAACCAATCACAGTGAAGGTCAAACTGTCCCTATGCTTTCTACCGCTACCTTCTTAAAATGAATAAAGTATAGGTCCTTTATTTTTTAAATATTACCGTTTATTACCATAGTATACTGATTATATTGCCTAATACTTTTTCATTATTACCTTGTGTTATGGCTTAAGGTAGACATATAATAAATAAATGTTATAAATACAACATACATTTTTTTCTTTGCTCTGTGCTTTACACTAAATAGGTGCGATCGTGATTGTCTTAAAAAAACAGCATAAGACTCTACATACGGAGGAGAACTTGCCATCACTCTTACGCATAAACCATTAAAGAATTTTGACTATTTTTATAAGTGCCATAACACTAACACTTTTACGGGATGCTCCAGCATTTTTGTTTTTTAAGTGTAACATATCTGTAAATCAATTGAATATCGATATAATACCACAACTTAACACAATGTGGCAGTACTGTCAGTCATTTAGGTAGAAAAATCGCATATGAAAAACAAAGACTGTATGACTAGAGCAGTGATTGGAAAGGCTTTATACTCTTGCATTTTGCCTTGACTAAACTCATGTTGTACACCGACCATAGAAGTGGTTTCCCCCCTTAGTCTAAAAAAAGTTACCTCGCCTAACCACGCCAAAGGAACCATCGCCGAGCTTAATGGACAAAGTAACATCTTTCTCTTGAATAAGACAAGTAAGGCTCGACGACAAACTATCGACTTGTTTCTTGCTAGCTAAAGGTTTGCTACCCGACGGCATAAATTTAGTTAAAATGTTCTTTTTCCATTGCTGTGCCTTGCGTTTCTTTATTGCGTCCAACAGTCTTCTTGCCCCTAAAACTCGCTCAATTTACATCGCTTGGAACAAGTAAAATAATACCTGGTTTGCTTAGTCCGATTTTTTCCAAATCTTGGGGCTGAACGTAATCGAAATGTTCGAGTCGTGTAATTTGCAGATCGTCCCTTATCGATGCTAAAAACTGCAGCAGTTGTACACTTTCTAATACTTCGTATAACCATTGCAATCCTTCTTCGGACATGATTTACTAATAAGTTCAATAATTTACGACTAGTTGTACAAAGATCATTTTAAATGTTTATAAATAATTATTATTTATAAAAAAGAGATTAATGAAAGCATTTTATCAATGCGAGCAGTACGCGAAAGGTCGTACGTCCTTTCCGAGTTTCGTCATGTTTTAATTGAATAAACGATCGAATTAGCTCACATTCGTATTTCCTAATCTTCCTACTTGGAAGTTGTAAATCAGTATCATCCATACACAAACATTATTTATAACTTCACGTTCAAATGATAACAGTCTTCTTGCAAAATTGTAAAAAAATTTGACAAATTTATTACACTTCCACCAACCGAATTACGTCATTTCAAAAAAAACAAAAACCCTGAAGTCAGTGGCGTCCAATCGTTTATTATTTATTTATCTTTTAATACTGTCCGTCTTTCTGTCGCTTAGTAACTGAGGCAGATATTATTTGCGAGTTCGAAAAACTAAATAAGGGACGATTTATAGCATTGTGTAAATAATTACACTCAGCAGTAGATCTACAGTTGTGTCTTTTAAGTCATTTACTATAGGGGCACGCTGTACGCAGACCTGCTTGATAAGTTGCCTAACCGTAGACGATTGAGAAACAATGCATTCATCCCAATAAACGTTAGGGACTTACAAAAACTCCGAAACTTGAAATTTTCGATAGCTACAATTGAAAATTGAGGGAGGCGTGGGAGGAATTTGATGTCTTCAAATTTTGTTCCCTAGTAACTTCCCAAAATTTTCGTTTTCCTTCAATTTTCGCAGGTGGAAATTATATTTACCTCCGTCCTCCATAGGTATAGGTACCGAAATACAGGTCTTCAGAAAACAGAAGAATTTCCCAAAATAAAAAAAATGAATTTTGTTACTATTGTAGGCGTATAGCACAGGTTACCCAATTATTCTTCCTTTTCAAGAATGTTTAATCTTGAGAAAATTCTCACATCAGATATGCCCTAAACAGTTCAGAGTTGAGCACGATATAGTCCTCAATCATTTACATGATATAAGGCGAAGGCGACAATTGGCAATGTCACTTAACAGTTACCACCCCCATACTGACTGCATTTTGCAATACAAGAAAACAAAGAAGGTGCGCCAAGACCAAAAACATTTTTCACGCTATACAGAATAATGTTGTTCACAACAAAAGAACGTTTTCTTTTTCCAAAGCACTCTTCTCAAAAAATTAAAAATTATATTTTCAGGAAAAATGTGATACCATGTGTGATATATCGTTGTAGAGAAAAAAGACGTATCTCAAAATGGCGCCCATAAGAAAAACTAAAGTTGCCACGTGTTTCTCCCTCATCTTGAAAGTTATTAAAAACAGGATGCCATATTTGAAATCTCCATTAAAGTGTCCGAATAATGTGTTAATTAGAAATGTCTACTACGATTAGTTTATCATAAAAAGAATTAAAAACGAAAATCAGAAATTTTCGTTTTTTTGCGATATCTTAAAAACTATTGAAGATATTTCAAATTTCTTTTCAGATTTTTATTCAGCACGAAAATTGGCAACTTTGCCCCCAACCAACTTTCTATCTCTTAAGATAAGTGAGATCCCCATAGTGGCACGTGAAAAATGGACACCGTGTATCACTTTTTACCACCACCACCATGTTTATGTCTTTTTTACTTACTGGTTTAGTTTTCTTCTTATTAGTGTCTTTGTCGTTTTGTACATTTCCTCCATACACCCTTGTTTACCCATTTCCTCTATCTTTAACACAACTGATATTTAGCCTTGTCACATATTTGATTGATATTTCTTTCTTTTACCATCTCTTCTTTCAAAACATTTGATGTTGCACCATTCTACCTTCACGTCGCAGTTTGGTAGGTTGCTTTTCCCTATCTCCTGAACTTTTTCATGTAGTCTCAGTTTGTGATGTTCAAACCAAGTATTAGCTATCCATAGATATTGCACTTCACAAAATACAATGACAAAATTCAACAAGTTTGTCCCTTTTCGCCTCTTTAATGTTTCTTCCCCAATTCAGTCATCTACCACTTCTTAGTCTTATCTTTCCCATTACACTGTTCCAATCTCCCATCAATATTGTTCTTACCTGTCCTTATTTTTGAACAAAATTGCCACTTCTGCTCTCTTTTCTAATCTCCTGTGTCACTCTCCTTCTCCTGGCCACCTAACTTTGCTCATACCATCGAATAAGCACTTAATCAATGCTCATAACCAATAGTTTGTCCAATTTGTATCTTCATTTGACTCACTATATTTTCTAGTTTTCCTTTTCTTTTCATTGTTCTTACATTCCAGGTACCTAGCCTTAGACATGAATTGTTTCCTAGTTTTTGTCCTTTAACTCTTCTCTCACCTGTAACTCCTTGGAAAGTGCTCACCTGCAGATCGGATAAGCATTTTTTTAGTCCACAACTGTCATAATAAAGAACAGTACTTTTCCAGCATCTCCTCTGGGACTGCCCATATATCCTTATCCTATGCCGTTGCTTCCTTCCTTAGAACTCGCCCGTCTTTAGAGGAGATTTCTACCAAGGGCAAGAAAATCCCAGTCCCTATTTTAGAAACAAATTTGGAAATCGTACGAGAACAGACATTCTTTACAAACCTAGTGATGAGTGATTAAAAAACATAAAAGGTTTATAATTTTAACTAAATTAAAACTACAATAAAAGTTCGAATTTTAAAAAAATGTCCTCTACCAGAATTGAGAAGCATTGTACACTGGCCAATTCATTCAAAAATGTCCCACAATTTAATACAAAAACAGACCGAAGCTAACAAAGAAATTTTTTTTCCAGAGTCTACACAAATCAACACCCTACAATCAAACCGATTGCCCAATATGTACAAAATTTGGGTTGATGAATTGCGATCACATTTAACATTATTTATTTATCGAAATTATAATAGTATTATAGAGAAATTTAATTTGTAAGAAGTGATATACAAAATAACTTTATACATAAGATATGAAAAGATTACAAACAATATACATCATACTCTCATAAACAATAAATGGAAGAATATGTGTGCTTGTAGAAATATTAAAAAATTAATGCACTGGGAATGTTACATTTGTTAGACGGGCAATAATAAAAAATACATTTACATTTATCTAACATAAGATGTTATCAACGATCATTTCCAATGTGATACTTTTTGTTAACACCCTGTATAACAATAATAAATACTATGTTATTTATAAATAACAGTGTATATATATAGGTACATTTTCTTAAATAGCATTTTACTGAACTATGAAAAAGTCTTATTTCAATAACATGTTAGTGCCATAAAATTTTCCAGAGTAACTGCCAAAGGAAGCTCGCTTCATAGTTTTGAGTAACAGAACCACAACCCTACTGTCTGAAATATTTATGACAAACACATTACTTTTTTTATTACACACATAAATTGTTAACAACTGATTGTTTACATTACTTAAGTCTATTAAATATATTTTCTTAAAATCGAAAGAGCTTGCAAAAATCACTTTTCCCCAATGATATTTGCATTTTTTTCCCCCCTACCGAATATCAGACTTATCAAGGCTGCCACTGCGATTACAAAATTTTGTATAAAAAAAAGGTGTATTCGTTTAGATTCAGCACCTCATCTATCCATTCACAATTAATTGACAGCTCATCGATGGATTTAAACTGAATAAACAAACACGCCTATACTAATGGCAAACTTGATAGGTACGTGATATGAAAAATTGTTAAAAAATGCTTCTAACGAGTCATTAAATGGCAAGTATTATCTAATTAACGAGATAATAAAATATGGCACCGATATTAATTCCAAACAAATCCACATTTACGCTTATTTTTCATTATAAATGTAAGAGAACACAAAATGGAATGGGTTTAATAATACACCCATGCTTGGAGATTAATACTACAAATTATTTACATCCATATTTTCATTCAAAATATGGTTAACATCCACCTATGGATACATTCCAAAAATATTGATTCCATACACTTTGTGTATTTAAATTTCTTCTTATAATATAACTTTTTTAAGTTATTCCGCGTTACAAATTATGACAGACTATGTACTTTTCGACTAGATTGCGTGAGAAATATACATACTATGTTATCCATTTTCTGTCAAGTACCAGATCGCAATTCACTAGTATAAAGAGCAAATTGAAGGAAAGTTTTTCGATAAATGTTTTCCTATTATTAACTCTCCGTGATCGTTACCTAATTATTTTGAAATCATTCCCGTCGGCTTGGGAGGGGTAATTTAAAATAATTAGATATCCATCACTGAGAAAAATCACAGAATAGTAAACAGAAAGAGTACCTACTTAATATCTAACTTTGAATGTAACAATGTGAACAATTTAGGTGAAAAATTAGAAATAAAAATAATAATACTGACAAAAAATATTTTTACGAGTTGGAAAAAGGATAATTGCTAGATTTAAATGGGGAGATAACAGTAACACTATTATTGGTCTGATAATAGACCGAACATTGTTTAAAAGTGCCACTGAGACCCCCCCTTGTTATCTCATTCGCCTGGCGTCGCACTGGAAGACCAACGATCGAATTCGATACCCGAATCCGGACTGACCCCTATATGGGCCAGGGGACTTAAAAATTCCGTATGTTGCCTGCACTTGCAATCGTCACGCAGTCGACAATTCGGACACTGTCTAGATCTGTTCTCCTCGACCTTTCGTACGTCGTGCTGTTCCCTACGTATCTGCTCCATGAGGCTGCTGGGACTTTGCGACGAAACGTCCAGTTTTAATTCTCTTTCGAAGTTGTGGAGCTGTTCCATGAAATGAAAGTTGGGAGCGATGTTAGATTTTCGAGCTCTCACTAGATTGAAGGCATCGTTTAGGTTGAGCGAGCACTTGTACATTAAATATGCTACTGTTATTGTAACGGAACGGGATACTCCGGCTAAACAGTGAACTAACACACCTTTCTTGTGAGATCTTGCTTCATCTGTAATTAAAGGAAAATTTTTACTTACATAAATTGCACATAAAATGAAAAAAAAACTGTTGCAGTGTTGCCAGCATCACAGTCAAATACTTGTTTGTTTCTAAATTTTTTAGTAGGTAAACTAGATAGGTCCTTACGGACCAATCACCGCATTTTAATTAGTAATTGCCGTTTTTTTATTGTTTTATCATTTGTCAATTTTTTTGGTGTGCTTGATTGTTGTGAGAATGTAGTTAGGGTTGTGTTAACTGTCGTTAGACTATTGTAAGACGAAAAAGATGACAAGAAATTGAATTCGGCTCAAAAAAGAACCAACATATTGATTCTCCCTTTTCATCGTATAGGTCTTCGCTACAGTGGGTATATTTCGCACTATTACAAAGAAGCAGATGTAATAAGGATCTGTCTCTAAAGAAATCGTTTAGTAACAAAGACCAGCAGGGGCCCATTTTGCGCCCATTTCTATCAGTTTCCCAATTTTTACAAATGTTACAAAACAAACGACACCATCTTGGACGCCATTTTGAACTAAATCTTTATTATTGTATGGAAGTTGGTGGTGGTCATTTCAAACACTAAAGTGATAACTAAATTTTTAGCTTCCTAGCATGTGCTAGGTAGCTATTGCGATAGCCGTTTTTTGAACATTTCAAAATTTCATCAAATGTCGACGTTTTAGACTATTTTAAGCAACTTTTAAAGAATAAAATTTTTTTCCGTCTGTATGTACGTACGTACGTACGTACGTTTGTTGGCAATTTTCTGAGAAAACGGCTCGACGGATTTTGTTGAAATTTTGTATATATGTTTTAGGCATACCGAACAGAAAAATAACGGGCCGGATTTTTGAAAAAAAATTTTGGAGCGCCGTAACGGCATCGAACTTTTTTTTTCAAATAGCAACCTAAAATTTTTATTCTATTATTTGGAAGACCTTATTTTCCTGTGTACAACCTACAAAAAATTGGGCCGGGTTATATTATCAAAAAACGGAGAAAAAAATTGTCAAAGTCAAAAAATTGTGTTGCATATGTGCAAAACGCAACGATCTTGTTTCTGAAGCAATTTAAACGAAATTTCTATGGTAAGTCCCTTTAATAAAAGCAAACAAAATTCATGCGCAAAAATCGTGTTGCGCATGCGCAGAAATGCAATTTTCTTATTTATGGAACAATTAAAACGAAATTTGGATGGTAGGTCCTCCTAATAAAAGAAAACAAAATGCATGCGCAAAAATCGTGTTGCGCATGCGCAGAAATGCAACTTTCTTATTTATGGAACAATTTTAACGAAATTTAGAACATATGTTGGCAATTTTTGGTTTCAGCTAGGAAGCTATTCTGTCAAGAATTTGACACCTGGTTTTCATTATTTTCGAATAATTCTTACCGTTACGTAGTTGGCTCTGCCAATCCATTTAAATCGAGTTTTCTCTGGAACTACTGATCGAATTTGAAAAATAAAAACAGTGCTGAAAACAGAATAAACATGCGTATTGAACTATATAACGTTTGCCACCCTTTTCCATTTAAAATTTTTGGGAAAAATTCACCCCCTTCTCAGAGTTGAAGTTATGTAAATAGGGGTCCCCCCTCAAAACTGAAATTGACGTGTTCGAGCGTTTCTGACGAAACTGTCATTAAGGGGCCAATATTGGCGTTGACTGTTTTCAGTGAGCCACCCTGTATATTCACAGAAAGATTAATAACTGTTTAATTGCGCATCTTTTCTCTAATTTAACCGTCGTCGTAGCTTCTATGGTTTCGGAAATCGCCATGATAGACACGCTTATTTGGAACACAGTGTATAATCTAATAAACCTTGGAATTTTTTATACACACATGTCCAAGATAAAGATGTCCTATCATGGGGATCTCGGAAACTATAGAAGATACGAAGGTTTCATTAGGGACAAGTTGCGCAAGGTCCCAAATTCCGAAGATATGCCAAAAAAACCAAAATTTGTCAGTTTTGTTTTTATTATTTTTGTGATGTTATTTGAACAAAAAAATTAAAACCACTTTCTCATTGCCACTGATTGAGCTCCACAAGACTGTTGTGAGATTTTCAATACAACGTTTCGTTTCAGAGAAATCAGCAACTTTATTTTTGTGTATGGTTCGTAAAAAAAGCAAAAAAAAAAAGAACTTAGAATCTCCTGGTTCACAACAGGATGGTGCACCCGCGCACAATGGAAAATTTGTCCCATAGGTATAGGCTTTCAAAATTGCACCAATTACCATTTTCAGTATCTGGAAAATTTGTTTTTACTATATCATAATTTTGTTTTGTTCTAATTTTCGATTTCTCCAATTTTTATACTCTTCCAAAATCCCTCATACAACTTTGTCAGTATCAAGGATTATTTTAGTCCTCTCTTGCCGTGTGAACCTAAATTAAAAAGGGATTTTGAGACAATGTATTTTTTGTGGCATTAGCAAATAGCGAAAGTTCACTCAAGTTTATTCTCGAAATGGCAAACTCAAAACTACTTCCATAAATTCAACGCAATGAGATAAAGGTTAGCGGTAAAATCCCCGGAGAAATGTACCCGATGGCTCGCAAACTAAATGGAATTTTTGATAAATGTCAATGAATTCATACACCTATCAAAAATTTAATGCGTCTGCAAAATTTATGGCACATCGACCGAAGGCCTCTTGCAATAATCAAGATTGAAAAGCAAAGGGTCGTCTTGTTTCATTTGGAATAATCCTCTGCTCTACTTTGTAAACCCAATTTTGCGACCTAACAAAACATGGTAGGGGGAGTATGGGCTGCCAAATATCGACTTGCTTAATGAAACCTGAATGGGGGCAATTGCAATGTCACGAAACAATTCGGACGCGCGATTTGCACGTTAAAGATTTCCATTTCAAAAATTCCACGAAAAAAATAGTCAATTCGATTCGCGAATTTACATAAACAGTTGCCGACTGTGAATGGAGTAGGCCCCCGTTGACCTAGATCTACCCCATTCATATCTACTGAATGAAACGCGGAGTGCGGGTGGATAAAATGAAACGGAAGCGGTTTGTGCCTTTAAACTGTACAGACCGTCTCTCTCTTCTTGTACGAACTTATTGATTATTGCGTTGGCGGATGGCGACGGCGGTACAACCCCCTACACAGAGATAGAGCAAGGCAACTTCGCCCACGCAATTTATAATGAACCCAACATAAATACACGACGAGACCTCAATTGGTGTAAACCCTACCTACTTACCTATAAATTCGATCGCCTGCGGAAAATGACTAGCCAGATTTTGGGACCAATGATCCGTTATTGGAATTTGCATGTACTTTATACTTCCGAGGTCCTCGAATACGTTGGGAAGATCGGGCGTTACATTCAGAACGTACTGAAACAAAAATCCCTACCGTCAAAAATGATGGGAGGTATGAAGGCTCTCTCTAAATTAAAAATACCTTCTATTCCCTATGTCTTTTTATATGGGCGATTCCACCTTTGAAACGCGAACAAAATGTTCGAGTAAGAGTATTTGTATTCTTTTATGTTAACTTTAATTGGAACTCCTCTCTGAGAGGATTATGCACCCTAGCTATTAGTATTCATATGCTTTCATATTTTCAATTTTTCCTACATACCTGTATACTATGCCTAGCAAGCGCTTGGCTGTCTTCACTATTCGCAGCGTTCCCCAAAAACAAGTAGGGCAAAATTTCAACAGGAAACTCTTTGTCGTCTTCTAAACCTGTCGGAGAAAAAACACACTCGCTTAGACAGGCCGTCAAAAGAAATGCATTTAATTTATTCAGTGAACAATACTTGTTGTTATTCTATTTCGAAAAACTTTTCAATTTATAACCTATTTAAAATTCAAAAGCTTTCGTATTTCGTCTTTTGAAATGTTACCTTCTAAAGGATGGAATGAGTCATGGCAACCCCTTGACGTCACACTTACCGTGTTTGCTCCCACACTCCTAATTAAATGTGGGTACCAAGCACGTGTTTCTTTTTTCCATTTCAACATTCTCCATTTACATAATTATTAAGGCAAAGTAGGAAAAAGAGGCAGGTGCGCTGATAAATACAATCTTGTTTACCTTTCCCTTATTTTCCTAAAAAGGATTATGTTGTGTTTGGAGTTACCTACGTAGGTATTTCAAATGTCAGAACGGCCCACACGCCCATTCCTTTGCTTCGACAAAATAAACCACTCAAATGCGTTATTATGAATTTGCAAAAACAAATTGTATCGTGAAACGCTTGTTTATTTTGTAAACATCTGCTGCCAGTAATTGTTTAAATTTCAGAATTTAACACAATAGAGAACCTAAAAATTTAAGCGTTCATTTTTTATATTCCCTATTATTGTAAATAGACGAATAAAGTCCTAAATTTGGTCGACGATTAGTGAGGAAATGACTCGATTAAAGATGACAACTACAATAAGTCAAGAAGTACAAAGGGACCAATGTTTAGAGTCCCTTGTCTTTAAGTCTTTATTATTCCTTAAAAGTATTTGATAGAGCATTCTTGAATGTTTTCTCCCCAAGAGTTTTAATGATCTCCACGACCTTTTAGTAGCCTTTATAGTTTTTAACAATTCTTTAAAAACTTTTGAGAATCCTTTAGGTTTTAATAATCTTTAATCTGGAGAAGTCTTTAAGATTCTTGACCAGAATTTAATGATCTCTAACAACCTTTAAAAACCTCAAACGGTTTCTAAAAAGTCTCCAAGGGATTTCCTGCAAATTGATATGTAAGAAATGTTCGTAAATATGTTTTTTAGGATCTTGAAAAAAACCATAGGGAATCTTTCACACTTCCCTAGAAGCTACTTGCAATTCTTGGGAAGCTTTTCAGTCGATACAAATAGTTTTCATATCGTTTTTTTCTTGGAAATCTCCTTAAGAGATCTTGCTATAAATATTAGAAATCCGCTTTTTTGGATCACAGACACCTGGCATATTTACAAACATTTTTTAGACATTAACTTAGCAAAATCACCTTAAGGTCCCTACACAGGGCCCAGAAGACTGTAAGCATTTTTGGATTCTACACACACGCTTCACTACGGGACGTAATTGTCGTGTGGTTCTGAGAACATTTGCACATTTTCACTTTTCCTGTGAAAATCCCAAGTTCCGAAATTGCTAAAATTTGTTCCTTTACTATATTGGGTGCGTATAATTCAAAAATGTAGTTGGGTTTTGAGCTTCAGTGTCATTTTTGACATGACTATATGTAGAAACCGGAAGAGCCAAATGGCCAAATTGCACGCCCCTCTGTCTATAAAACAAACGCAAGTCGATATGTCAACAAATAAAAGAGTTGCGAATATTTTATTGGGGTCATGTTGGATGTAGTTTCTTGGGGAAGGGGGGGGGGGTCTATATTCTATACCCATACCCGAAAAACAGCCGTAGGGAACGGGATATTTAAGATTTTTGTCTACACCTAGGTCTTTTCCCAAAAAGAACCGTGTAAATACTAACACGCATAAATGTTTTTGGGAAGAACCCTAGCACCGAGGGGTCTGGGGGGGTATTCTAAAACCCCCCACTGTACGACGATCCTAAGACAGTTGTAGGAAGAGCGATATTGAAGATTTTATTTTTTTGCTAAAATTATATGTATACCGGGGGAGTATTCCATACCCCCCCAGACCATCCAGTAACGTTATTCCCAAAACGAAAGGAACATATCACCGGGGGCTCTGGGGAGTATAAATACCCCCTAGTGAACGACGACCCTAAGACAGTGGTATATTCTTTTGCTACACCTATACATACGTGGGGGTGTTGCTATTCCATACCTTCCAGCCCCCCCCCCCCCGGTGAAAAGGCCTTTTCCCAAAAACATGATCATGTGAATACTGGCAAATCCAAACGTTTTTGGGAAGAAGCATCTCACGGAGGAGGGGGGGGGGGTATGGACCACCCCCTAGCGTATTCCCCAAAAATAACCGTATAAATAATAACATGTCTAAACGTTTTTGGGAAGGTGTCTCCAACACCCCGTGTGGATGGTCCACGGTCCTAAGACCGTCGTAGGAAAAGGGATATTTTTTTTAAGATTCTGAACTTTTCCCGTAAATCTTCCTTATATAACGGGCGGATTAAGAATTTCCAAAATTGTTTCTCTAGTACTAAATCGGGTGCGTAAAATCAAAAAAATATAGTCAATAAAACATGCTAAAAATCGCGCATGATACTTCTGATGTGATTTTTTTATAGACAGAGGAAGGATTCGAGTGTGCAATTGGACCACTTCACGTTCCGGAACTCTACCCCAAAGCTATTTGTCTCAGGAACCTTCAGTTGCAGCCGCAGGTAGCTGATATTTGTATACTACACGCGTTTATCCCTCCTCCGCGAACTGGAAAACCGCAGGTGGATATCTCAACAAATTGACGACGGCCTGAAGAGGGTTGTCTCTTCTTTACAACCTATAGCAACATAGAAACTCCGTAGTCCTTTCAACGTCTTCTTCCTTCTTTCTTCACCGGTGCTTAAGGGGCTTGTCTTGAAGAACACTGAGTCACTGTAAAAGTGCTGATGGGACTTTGAAAGTCTTTAACGACCTCGAAAAGTCTTCCAGAAGCCTCTTTAAGAGTGTTTAAAAAATACTTCCTAATTTTTGAGAGTCTTTAAAAACCTTCAAAAATTTTGTAGGTCTTCAAGAGGTTTTTAGAATCTTTTAAATGCTTTATGAGCTTGAGTGTTTAAAAGCGTTTAAACGCAATTTTCCATTACCTCACAGATGGTTTCTAAGGAAACAAATGTATTTTAAAGAGTTTCATAGGTATTTTAATCCTTTTATTTAAAAACTTCCAAAAATGTTAACGAGTCTCTAGGTTTTTACGAACTCTAATAGTCTCAAACATTTTTAGAGCCGTTCGTGTTGTTTGTGAGGTCATTAGAATCTTTAAAAGTAGTCCTCAAGAGCTTGCCATGCAAAATATTCCATCATCAGGAAATTGATTCATTTAGTATTTAAAATCTGCTTAGAATAGTCATTTTTAATTTTAACAAATTTTATACAGGGTGTCACTTATAAATATGTAAGTAAAAAGGATTGAGTAGAAAGGTTAAAAACAAACATTTTTTCCAAAGTAAAGACCGTTCTTTCCTTTTATACATTATGGCTCGCCTTATGATTTCTAAAAAAATGGAGAATCACAAATATTGGAACCTTTGAAGGTGTAGCCCAAGAACGAATCATTTTTATTTGGAAAGAATATTTGTCAAATAGCAGCAAACTTTGATTCTGAAAATAACTAAAAAATAATTAAACCTAGCATGGGAACTTTGGAAAGAATGTCGTGTGATCTTACCTAAAGAGCTGTCACATCTATCATCCGTATCAGAACTATCAGTCGAACTATTTGCTGCCGAAGAGAGGCTGTCACAACTACGATGTGGTCGATGAAGCGGCGGTGCTGAGATTCTTAACGATCGTAATCCCATAAGGGGTAGTGGGTCAGGACCTGCAGCCGGAGGCAAAGTTCCCGTCGTCTCTAATAACTCAGAACAGCTGTCGCACCATTCAGGATAAGACGCTTTAAATCTCGAAAATCCATCTGTAACGGAAAATATCGACATTAAAAATAGGTCACGAACAATGCGCGCCCAATTTCCCAAATAAACGCAACTCTTAAGATCGAAGATTGAAGTAATGCCAAACTGGCGTTCACTCAAATACGACTCGAAGCCAGTGCAAATTAGGAAACGCGCATAAATCGATTATCGAAGGGTCGTCCTAATTAAAATTTATGAAACAACTTTCGCAGGTGAGGTTATAATATTCAAATTTTCGCAATGAGGACAAGGAAGCCTGCAGCTGAACCTACTTTTCCCAACTGCACCGTTGCTAGGTAACAGAAGGAGCCACCCCATTATAACACGAGGTATGTTCGTTCCTACTGAAAAGCCACGTTTTCACCTACTTTCCAGGAAATGTCGAAACCCAATTTCAAACTTTGACCTGGAAATAAACCTGCGAAATAAGCAATCGAACACATCCCAATTAACTCATATTTCTTCGACAATTCAAAGCCAACCCGAACTTTAGGTGTTATCTGAACTCGCACAGTCAAGTTTAAAAATAGACGTACAGGCGCTCGATTTTTAATGAGGTGAAAGAAGAGGGCGTAGGGACTCAACCGGGAATGAATATTATGTACACATTCACAATTCCAAACCCAATCGATTGATGAGCCTAAAAAAAGCTCGGGGATAATAAATCTACATAACCGAAATTCGTGGACGACTATGCCTGTTATTCATTAATTATTAATTAATTTTATAACAGTCTTGTAAACAAACGCGAGCGCGGACTTTAACAATAATCACTTCGGCATCGGCGTTGGAAATCTCATTAAACAAATTTGTTTATATAGCAATCGGAAAGTTTTTACAAAAAATGTGGGAACATTCTTGAAAAATCTAGCCGTGTCACGTTTCAAGGAAAAAATGCTTCGCATCCGCTTTCATTCCTTATCGCCGGTGCCTAATCTTTTATCGACTTGATGGCGCCTCGATGTATGGGATACTCGTTACAATAATTCAGGTAAAGCCAAGATTTCGGGCTCCACGTCCTTCTAATGGCCTTTTCATTACAAATTATTACAATAAAAAGTTGGTTGCAGTGGAGAATGGGGCAATTTGTACTAACAAACCACCAATCATTCCAAAAGCAAGTTTAAATTCCTATCACGGGAAAGAACCAGGAAGTATGTAATCCCAAAAGGCGGAACCATCACAAGCAATCAAAGTAAAAATAGAAAGTAATTAACATTAGATCTTTAACGCCCCATATTATTATTATGTAAACAAATAGACCCCCGCCCGCGCCGAAATGTCTGCCTGTCTGTTTAATGTCATAGCAGGTTCATTAATGTTGCACGGTTGCAATGTACGTAATTTCCGCTACAAAGGTGTGTCTTTATTCATTATTTCATGTACGTGGATATGTGGGCGTTAACAACATTTTAATTGTTTTGCATTTTACAACTTCTTAAACGCAATAAACATCCGTTGGGATTCAAAGCGGAATACAAATTGCAGTTAATGTTTTTTTAGCGATTGGCGAAATTTAAAGAACACTGAAGGTCGACAATGTCTGAGAATCACAACCACTTTTTTGTTATAAAAAAAAACTGTTTATTGTTACTAACGTATTCAACGCGTTCTTCGATCAGAAAAAAAATTAAAATACTCATCAGTCATCAGGTACCGCAGGCAATGTCTAAGAACCGGACCCCCTCACCCCCCAATATAACGTTTAATTAATTGCAAAATGGTAATGACAGGTAACTTCAAAGGAACTGGAGGACAAGGGAGCTTAAGATGCAGATTAGGTAAACCCTCGAGCAAACCCAAGAGCCACTTGAGCCAACCCGACCTTATGATAGATAAAAAGAAGGGGCGGATCTTTCTTGCCTGGAAGTATTTCATACCCCCCATTTTTGCATTTCACGATTTCACCCCAAGACTTTTAGTGGTTTTAGTACTTGCAGCATAACTTTTGGAAAAGGACCAACGAACGTAACACCAGAAGCCCGTGGGGTAGGAAAAATTCATCAAGAAGGGGAATTTTATGGGAATGAATTAAAAACCCACACGAAAGTGCTTAAACTTGATACAACTCAGTATACGAACATCTTATGCTAGTTGAGGGAAAGGAACACTCAATTTTTATTTCCATCCCTCCCCACAGATCTCTCAAAGGGAAGGGCACAGTGAACCTTTATTGCCTGGGTGGTATACTCCCTGGATCCCCCGGTTCTACATTTTCCCCCAAGACTTCTCACCGGAAACAGTGAATCTGTCTTGTGTGTTTACCTGGGGGTATTTCCGGTGGTAGATTTTTCCCCAAGACTCCCCAGTTTACGTACACATTATGATAGTGAAACGTAAGGGCGGATCTTTCGTGCCTGGGGGTATTCGATCCCCCCCCCCCCAGATTTTGATTTCTCCCCAAGACCTTCAGTGCTTTTAGTCATAATTTTTGGAAAAGGACCAACGAACGTAACACCAAAAGTCTATGGAGTACCAAAAACTCGCCAGGAACTCACGAACCTCCCACGTGAAAGGGAAGGGTACAGTGAATCTTTGTTGCGTGGGGAGTAAACCGCCCTGGTTCTACATTTTTCCCCCAGGCTTCTCACTTTGAACAGTGAATCTTTTTTATGTGAAACGAATGGGGGGTATTACATGCCACCCAGACTTACTTGCGCCATAATTTGTGGACGAGGCCCATGGAACGATTACCAGAAGCCTGTGGAGTAGGAAAATGGGTCTTTATACATGAAAGTGCTGAGCCTTGATCGTAGTAGTACATGAACACCTATGATAGTTAACAGAAAGGAACATTTTTTATTTCCTAGGAGGTTTTCCATACCGCCCCCCCCCAACACCCCCCTCCCAATCCGAGTGAAAAGGAAGGTTGCAGCGAATCTTTATTGTCCGGGGGTATACACGACTCCACAGTGTCTCCCCAAGACCATTAGTGCTCTTAGCACTTGCACCCTAATTTTTGGAAAAAGACCAACGAATATAACACTAGAAGTAAGGGAAATTTGATGAACCTTAATTAAAATTCCAGACGAAAGTGATTACACACATGGGAGGTATGGAATAATGGACTAAACGGCTGAACCGATTGGAACCAAATTTGGCACACATACTGTTAGAGTTAGACCACAGCAAATTGTTTATTCTGCGTCCGATAACAATAAAATATACCGGGTGTTGCATTTAAAAACAAACAGTTAAGGAAGTCAAAAAAGAAGACCTTGCGATTATTAAATGCATTAATATTTGAAATACAGTGTGTTCAAGTTAAGAATGAATAGCATGGGGAAGTCGGAAACCATAAGAGATACACATCAGTCGGTTAAATTAGAAAAGTATTTTAGGGATTAGTAAAATGATGTTAACAATTTCGATCAATTACGAAGAATTCGTAAAAAAAACGAAATTAACTCTATTCTTTTTTATTTTGATGTCAACGCCTACTACACCAAAATCTTAAAAATTTAATAGTAAGCCTTTTTTTCTTACTTAAATAATAAACAATTTTTAACATTTTGACGTCAAAAAGTCAAAATAATGCATTTATGGTTCCTTCAAATGATACACTAAGAATCACGAGAAGAATCATCTTGTGCCATTGTATTCGTAATAAAAAATGCGAGTCAATACAGTACGTACTTTTTTTCCGGTCCGTATAAAACATAAAGTTGAAGATGGTTTTTCAAAAACGAAACGTCGTAGTGAAAATCTGTGGGCACCATCTTGTAAATCTCAAAAAGTGCCTATGAGGAATTTGTTTTTTGATATCTTTAAAAAAAAATAATAAAATCGAATATGGTTCATTTTCCGAATATCTTCGGAACTCCGAATGTTTTAAACATCATTTTACTTAGCCCTAAAATACGCGACTTTTTTCTAATTTAACCGACTGTGTATCTCTTATGGTTTCCGATTTCCCCATGCAGTTCATTCTTATCTTGAACACACTGTAGATAATTAACGAAGATCATCGAATAGAACTTGATACTTATCCTGTATATATTTTCTGACCATTTCCTACGCTTTGGGAGAGACAAGAGTTTTTTCCGTAATCAATTTTGAGTTTTCCAAAAGCGAAGATTATGTTTATGTGGGTTGCGGAAAGATGGGAACACCAGAAACAGAGTGGTCAAAACCTCACTCTGTGTATGTTCCGCTTCGTACTTGAGCTTAACAGTCCCAAGAGATCTTGGTGGCAAACTTCTTCTATTGTCTTGGTTCTGTTGTTATCGAGCCTAAAGATGAAGTGAGCGAGAAGAGATGGGATGCAGACCAGAGGATCGATTTATTTCTTTATAAGCAGTGACGGATTATTCATAGGGACCAATAGACTATAAGTTAGACTCCGAAATTTGGGGGGGGGGGGCTAATAGACACGAGATGAGTGAGTTACAGTCAAACACTTTGTTCACGAAATACTTAATACTGTAGCGAATCTCGAGGCGCCATGAAAGATTACTCATCGGCCATAAAAAACGAAGGCGGGTGTGATGCAATTTTTCCGGGAAATATGATGTGTGCGAGGCCTTAACTACTCCTACAGTTTTCAAGATATTTACTTCGTTCTCTTTGCATTCGGTAGCTTATACCTCCCGCACCTCAGCCAAAAAAATCTTGACGACTAATGTACGCATGCGCAGACTGTGCAATGACAACCTCCTTATTTATAGATATTTTTTTGAAATTTTAACCGCATATGCTTCTAGTCAAGACAAACATATCGTAATATTCTGATTTATAGATATCGCATATTTTAAACATCAGGTGTGCGGGTCATTTCAGGAGGTACGAAGTTCGCTAGGTCTGCTAATAATAATAATATCAGAAAGTGCCATAATTTAACCAGCGCATGCACAGTCACGATCTTTATTCCGACGTCAAGATATGCATACTTTTGAACATTTTTCGAAAGAAATTCCCCTTATGTGATGTCCGCCCGTCTGTTTCTCGAGAACGAAAAGAGGCAGCAATCTCAAACCTTCGCCAATGGACCAGTGATATCGAA